TAGCGGATAGGACGATTCGAGGATTGCAAACGCCTTGACCCTCGGGCCTGGTCTGGGCACTTCGGACTCGGGTAAAAGACCTGCGGAGAAGTCCGTGCTTGGGTTTGTGGTCTCTGGGGATTCCGGGGACAAATCATAAAGGAACTGGTGCAGATCATGCGCGCTCCTATGCGGTGTACCGGAGTCCGTACTTACCGGCGCCTGTAGTACCTCCCGCCCGATGAGAGGAGAGTAATGATGGGGATTGATGGATGGTGTATTCATTGCCATTGATAGAGATGTCTACTGATGGTGCACGGGGGTTGAGCATCCCTAGGTTGTTGCTTGGAATGTCTTGTGCGAAGAGAAGAAATGATTCTATGCGAGTGAGTTGGCTATACTGGGGATACTTTGGGGAGATATTGGTATGCGGGGGTGGCGTACCCTCGTCCACGTCGATAACTTCTTCGCCATTGGCGAGTAAATGGATGATTTGGTCCATGAGTTGATATCCATGGATGTTGGAGATATTTGATGGAATGGGAATGATTTATTTGGTTATGATATTTTTTTTAGGGATCACGGGATCAGAGATATTAGTGATTATGTATGATATGAAGCATATTTAGGATATTTAGGATATTTCAGATACGATACTTGGATATATTATTTATATTAAACCAACTCTACTTCGTAGTGGTCTACGGAGTATAAAGCTATGACACTCTACAAATTGTTGGGCTTCCCAACAGAAAAAGGGAAAACGGGAACTGATCTACCGGTACCCTAACATATAACATATAGCATATAACATATAATATAGTTAAATAGCAGGTATAACTAGAATTACTATCTGTTACTTTAATATCATATGAGATATTAAATGTACTCAAGAACTAAATTACCAAATTAATTAAATTAATAAAAAATCAGAAAAAAAAAAAACCAGAAGAGCTCCGTGCGAGTTATGTATGCAACTCGAGGCCGAAAAACCTTGGACACTCCTGCGTCATTTGCCGACCAGCCACTGATCCAAACCTTCCAAGGTCCAACTCTCTCCTCTTTGTGAATGCTAAGATAATATAATACTCCCATCTCTTCCTCGACTTGGTAAGTTTTTCCATTCTAGCCCTTTGTTCTAGCTTCCTATAGCTCTTTGTTTCTCCCCTTCCTAGCTCCGTGCTATTTCCGCACTAGCTAACCTTCGCCCCCCTCGAGTAGAGGTTCTGTTTTTTCCCCCCCTTCGAGTCTCCTCGATATTCCGGCTCCTTCCGCTTTACCTTTGATTGAGCCATACAGCCAATATGTCTGTACAAAACATCCACCTTCAGCCGCGTATGGTCAAGAAGGGCCCCTTCTCGATCGAGGCGCCCGGATATGAGCGCGTCCCCGGCGAGACAATCCCCCGTCGACACCCCAAGGCCAAGGACGGCCTTATCACAACACTTGAAGATGTCTCTACCACCTATGAGAACATGCGCCGATCAGCTCGCGTCTTTGGTAACTCCAAAGCTGTCGGCAGTCGCCGGCTAATTAAGACACATGTCGAGAACAAGAAGGTCAAGAAGATCGTGGATGGAGTTGAGCAGGAGATCGACAAGAAGTGGACCTATTTTGAAATGAGTGGTTATACTTACAAGACCTTCCTCGAATATGAGAAGCTCTGTCTGGAGCTTGGTAGCGGTCTCCGCAAGCTGGGCTTCGAGAAGGATAGCAGAATCCACCTCTACGGTGCGACGAGGTAAGAGACACATTGCGCCTTCAAAGAGATTCGACGTAGGATGACTGACTCGATTGCCCTTGATAGCGCACACTGGCTGGCCATGTCACACGGTTCGTTTGCTCTTATTTTCCTTGACGCGCGAACAGACCCACTAACCTACTATTACAGGTGCTGCCTCTCAGTCCGTGACCATTGTTACCGCATACGATACCCTAGGCGAGGAAGGCTTAAAGCACTCTATCGTCCAAACTGGCAGTACTGCCATCTTCCTCGACCCCGGTCTGCTGAAGTCGCTCATCAGCATCCTCCGGAGCGTGCCCTCAATCAAGCACATTATCTACAATACCGACACAGAAATGGACCAGAAGCTTCTTGATCAGTTACACAGCGAGTTTATCCACATCAACGTGCAGAGTATCGAGGAATTGCGCAAGCAGGGCGAGGAGAACCTCGTGGAGCCTGTTCCCCCCAAGCCGGAGGATCTGTGCTGCATCATGTACACCTCGGGCACAACAGGCCCCCCGAAGGGTGTGCCATTGACCCACGCTAACGTGATCGCTGCTAGTAAGTTGAAAAGCACCTTCGGAATCGCTTTCTATTAAGCTAATGTCTCGTAATAGCTGCTGGTGTTCACGCCGTCATCGGTCCCTGTATTAACCACACAGACTCCCTCCTGACCTACCTTCCCCAATCTCACATTCTGGAATTCATGTTCGAGAACCTGTGCTTGTTCTGGGGTGGTACCATGGGATACGGTAACCCCCGCACATTGTCCGATGCCTCTATGCGGAACTGCCTGGGCGACATCAAGGAGTTCAAGCCTACCGTTTTGGTCGGTGTTCCGGCCGTGTGGGAGTCAGTGAAGAAGGGCGTCTTGGCCAACCTCAACAAGGCCAGCTTCGTGGTCAAGGGTATGTTCTGGGGTGCCATGTCGGCCAAGAGTTTCCTCATGAGCAATAGCTTCCCTGGAGCAAACCTGGGCGCCTCCGTTTTGGACGCCGTTGTATTCAAAAAGCTTAAGGAGGCAACCGGAGGCAGACTCCGTGTCGTCATGAACGGTGGTGGCCCCGTCTCCAAGGACACCCAGAGGTTCTTGTCAATGGCTATCGCCCCCATGATCAGCGGCTACGGTTTAACCGAAACCTCTGCCATGGGTGCCCTGAACGACCCCTTGGCCTGGAATCCCGATGCCCTCGGTGAGATTCCCGCCTCGATCGAGGTCAAGCTTGTGGACTTCCCCGATGCTGGATACCTCACCTCGAACAAACCCCCCCAGGGTGAGATTTTCATCCGCGGTGGCAGTGTGACCACAGGCTACTACGAAAATGAGGAGGAGACCAAGGCTGCGATCACCGAGGATGGCTGGTTCATGACCGGTGACATTGGCGAATTCGATCGCAACGGTCACCTTAGCATCATTGACCGCAAGAAGAACCTGGTCAAGACCCTGAACGGTGAATACATCGCTCTGGAGAAGCTCGAGTCTGTCTACCGCTCGTCTCCCGTGGTTGGCAACATCTGTGTCTACGCTGCCCAGGACCAAGATAAGCCCGTCGCCATCATTGTTCCCGCCGAGCCGGCACTGAAGAAGCTTGCTCACGAGAATGGCATCAAGGGTGACAGCCTTGAGAGCCTTGTTCACGACGAGAAGCTCAACAAGATCGTCTTGCAGCAGCTGCAGTCCGCCGGCCGCGCTGGTGGCTTGAGGGGCATTGAGATTATTAACGGTGTTGTGCTTTCTGACGACGAGTGGACCCCGCAAAATGTAAGTGATTCTCAAGCTATCCCGAGTATGAACTGTGCTAACAAGACATCAGGGTTTCATGACCGCTGCGCAAAAACTCCAGCGCAAGAAGATCCTCGCCCACTACGAGTCCGAAATCGGCAAGGCTTACGGCAAGAAATAAAAAAAAGCGTGTCAAACTGCTTCACTTGGTTTTCTTAGCTTCACCCTTGTGTTATTTTTCCTTCTAATTTCTTTCCCCTGCTGTATTTGCTTGCGCTTTGAGACCCTCTCTGTTATTACCACTTTCTCCAATCTATGTTTACATTTCTCTCGATTCTTGCCTCGTTTTTTTATTTCTGCGACGATGTAGACGATATAGTAATCAATGTGGATATGAAATGACCGGCATCGCGACGGTTTTGTTTTATATCAGTCTATATACACACTTGGCTTCATCTTATTCCACAGAAGGCTTCTTCGCTTGGCTATGGCCCTATTTTCTCGCACTGTCTAAAGGGTCTTTTTGTCCGGGGATGGTTCATAGTATGAACTTAGAATTAAAAACAGATATTTAGAATGGAATGTACGTCACCTCGAGCCGGTTCGAACATGTGATAATCCAAGGATTCTAGTAGATCTATCATATACACCAAAGTACAAGTACACATGCATGTAACAGTGTCTCTGTCCAAAGTACCTCGGAAAGTACCTCGGTACCTCACTGATCAGCCACAGTTACACCACCCCCAGCAATGCACAAGTACCCGGGGATGTCCATGTACCTGACAGGACTTAGCGGCCGACAAAAAGACACACGTTCGAACCCGTCGCACTGGCACAAACCGAAGTATATAGAGTTCGCTAGCCTCAGGTACCAAAATAATCCCGTGACCGAAAGTGTAGATATCTCCACGTGACTCTCCCCGTCAAAGTAGCATACGCCAACTTGGAAGTCACACATTGCCCCATTATTATCTCCCTCCAAGACTAGAATACTTTCATCCCCAGTCCAAATGTCTCTCTGGAGGTACGTGACACAGTCTTAAACCGACCAACCCCCGCACACACCAACACCCGGACCACCGAGACAAGAAAGAAGGGCAGAAACTAACAAGCTTCACAGCTCCTACCGCGGTCTCGCCCCCAAAACCCGGGCCCTGTTCGGTATCGGCGTCATGGCCTGGGCAGGTATCGGACTCTGGACCGCACCCCAGGTAGAAAACGCTTTGGGCATGCAACCCTCGAAGGAAGAGCAGGAAGCGCTGGATCGGAAGTTGGCGGTGCGCGTGTCGCGTGTCGGAGGAGAGGAGGTCGAGACATCGAACACCCGGGTGAACTGAGCAATTGAAGAGTCGACGGAGATAACGCGCGAGAACGGAGCTCTGCAAGCTCATGTGATCGATACCTGAGCTGGTGATGGCGATGGGACTACGGGGTGTGTTTTGTGGTCGGCTGTGATTATCTCCGGCAGTCATGGGTTGGGTGCAGTCTCACGGAACCATGAGGGTTGAATGCGACTGGTCGGGAAAGGTTGAGGAGGGAAATCAGTCTGTTGCAGGCTGCCGGGCTGGTATGGAAGGAAAGTCTTTCCCTGAAATATCTTGCCGAGTCGACCTTTCCCCGAAAAGACTTAATTGCAATATTGCGATTGCGATACATTGCTGCAATTTCCTGCGCTTGTGCCCTCGTGCCCCATGTCTAAACATCAAACTGCCTACCTACATCCCGCACCCGTCTATCGCATCCCCTCAACGCATCGGGACTCCGGGATTCAAAAGAGGACCCGGTTCTTCGGAGCCGGAAGGTCACTTACTACATACATATCTACACTGGAAAGCGGTCATAGCGATGCACCTTGACACTGTTTGCTTTGTCTTCGCGCATCCCGCCAAGACAAAAGAGAAATTCAAAAACAAACAAGCAGTGGTCAATGGCCAGTGGCTGACGCCCCCCATTCTGTATCTGAGAATCTCGATCTGCGCGTGCACGTCCCCATCGGAAAGACCACAGGGAATGGCCTGATACTTCATGCCTTGCCCTGTCTTTTCCCACGCTCACGCCCACGCTCACGCCCACGCCTGTCCGTGCGTCTGCAACGACCCCGGCTCCAACCGCCCTGTTCGCAGAGCAGGGAAGGATTAGGCGGCTGCAGTCAGCGGCGATGTTTCCCCGCTTAGCCTCGTCTCGTGCGGATGTTTTTCTTTCGTTCTTTCTTTCCTGTCTGGGGCATTGGTTGGGGATTCATGTGGCTCGGAAGAATTGCTGCGGCTGAGAGGGTGGATCGTTGCTTAGCCTGGTCTGGATTGCGACATGTTGGCTGTTGTGGCGAGGGACCAATTAGAGGTTGGTTTTATTTTCCGAGATTGAACTTTTGCCTGATTGGGAAAGTGATGCGAGGGACAGTTGGTCTGGTTGGGATTGGGGGTTGTTATTGATTCTTTGAGGTGTTGGGATTGTCCTGTTTTTGTATTCTTTGATCATGGGGTCTTGTCATAGGGATATTTGGAATATGGGTGTCTAGTTTAACTTCTACTGTAGTCATCTGGAGTATTTGAATTGATCCCTGATGTTTGTCTATACTACATACTATTTGAAGGTAAGAAGGGATGTCTTTAGGGAGGGCATATTCTTTCAAGATAACGTGAAACAATATCACCGAAGCACTTTATATCATAAAGTTCTTAAAGCAAGAAGGACTCAAATGGGCATACAATCGAAGTGCGGCTCTAAAAGTATCATTTCGGAACTTAGTTTTGTGATATCACTTGAAGTGTAACACAAGGGACCCTTTTACGCTTGAAATATATCTTGTACATCCCAAAGATCGACTCTCATTAATTGGAATAACCAGGGATTTCGTCCATATGGACTCTTCATCATGCCAGTCTCGATAGATTGCTTCTTTTTTTATCCTATTCATAGATTCTATGATCTTGCCCATTCTTGTGGCTGCCCGAAAACGATATCTTGTTTAAAATATTACCTCGCACAGATCTACAGAGCGGTCATGTGCTTTTTATTCCGGGTGAGACAAACCTAGCACCATGCTCGGAGGCCGTTGAGGTGGAACACGGAGATAGAGACCATCCTCGCTGGATGGCTGATAGCATTGCAAGGCATCCATATCTCGATCTGGAAGGAAAATCCAGGTGCATTAGAATATAGCAAGCTATACATCGCAGCTGGCTTCCTAGCTCGTAATGCGTCCAAGATAGCGGCGAGGGTTTATATTGGAACAGCCGTGCCATGGACAGGGTTGTTCTGTCAGCGATAGCAAGTCATAGATCGCCGAGGTTTTCATTCAGATATCAATGTGCATGTCTCTTAGGCAGCAGATAACAGATATCTTACTCGGGATCATTGGGCTAAATGTAAAGTGTTGAGAACACAGATTGTCTTCTGGGCGTCTTGGCTTGATGGCCGATAGGGTTGATTATCGTCGTACTGACAACCCAGGGTCCATTACTCCAGGCTTATGCCTTGCTGCTATATCATAGACTCCTTGCTATCTATGCTTGAACTTTAACATGTACTTCCTAGGATTTACTGGCTCGTTTTTATTATCCAGGAATTCCTGCATTGGGGATTTTATGGTACTAAACTATATCACCCAATCTCGCATAGAGATATCTGAGACCCTAAGCCAGTCTGAGAAAGGTGTGATATTTACAGAATTGTAAGAAATATAAAATATAAGAGTGAAATATGACCACGGAAGCCAAAGGATGTACTTTACAGACCTTAACTAGTACTCGGTGAGATGAAGCTTGGCAGACGGGATACGCAAGGAGGGGACTTGTATGCACTATGAAATCTGTCCCTCGGCAATGAATCTCACTTTGATCTACACTTCTCTAGATATTGTTAATTCCACGGGAAGGGTAGAGACGTAGGGAGTTGCTGAGGGCGCAGCGGCAGCGGCAGGGGCCGCAAGGATAATTCGAAATTCGAAATCCTTGAAAACAATCCTTAGAACGGTCCAAAATGAGAGTACCATATTCCGTATTCGGTAACCAAGTAAGCTGTAGATTATCTGCGTATGAGCAGGAGCCGGCAGGACGAGGCAAAGACCAACAGGACAGCAATGCAACCTACTTGACCGTAAGTATAGCAAGTACAGCGGTCAGGCTATCACACGTCATTTGTTGCGTTCTGGTGATATGAGTAATATGGTAGAGGGATTTTAAGTCAATGCGAACAATCCTAGCATGAAAGAGTAGAATTAAGACAGTATTATGTATATTAGGGTACATATACTTTAAAGTAAAAAGATGAAGGTACGAAGTAGCAAAGAGTGGCACCAAGCCAGTATATCAAAATGCCTAACATGACCAAGGACCAGATTCGGAGTGTCAATCCAAGATGTCAAATGAGAAATAAGAAACAAAGCGCCTAGGATTGTCCTTTTGCCCAACTTCCCTTGTACGACGTGCAGAAGTACCTATCCAACCGGTTGTGAGTGAACCACCAATGATATCGAACTTACCCCAACTATCCGAGCGTTTTTCATGTCAAGAGTACAAAAATTATACGAAATTATACAAGATTATACAAAATTAATAATGTATTTTCTCCTAGTGGCAAACGCGGTACTATGTATATACCAACGAACCCTAGAACAAGCTGGACATGAACCCAATTGTTTCAGATCGAAAGTCAAAAATAGTCTGGTTCGAGCAATAAAAACCCTTTCTGATCCACATAGACTCCATATATCTCTCAAATCTTTTACTGCATGCGGACGTTACTACCCCGGTAGATCACAGGGGATGTTATTGACAGGGATCAGAGGGTTTAAAACATCGGAATATGCCGAGGTGCAGGGAGGCTTGGATGATACGAGGATCTCTTATTTCCATGAATTTTAACCTGACACATGAGCAGATTTCATTGGAGAGATTGAATCAACAGCACCTATATTTTAGTCTTCACCAAGCATACCAAAGATTAAATTGGTGGTCACACCAAAGCCTGTTTTGTTTCACCTGATATACTTAGATTGAAAAATCACGGTTGAACTTTTGTTAAGATAAACAGGGCTGAGCTGACACGTACATCGATGTACATTGTAATGGGGCATCACCTGCACTGTTGTAGATCAGGATCTGCATCTAACGATTTCTTACATTAATACTTGAATACATTTAATACCTATACCTATACCTATATTCAGCACGATATTCCTATTTAGATCTGACCAATCTAAAATCATTTATATTACTATGTATTTCCCTGTTTTATAAGGCAATCTCTGCTGCCTAACAGGAAAGCAACATAAGAAAAATATAAGCCAAACCTAGCCCCCCACCCCCAAACGATTCATTCTGCATCTTACCGTTCTCTCTCCGTCGCAACGTCTGCACGGAGTACACCGTATACACCGTATACACCGTATAAAATACGGAAATACTACCCACCTTGCTTCGTTTGATTTCAAGACCGCGGAGCCTCCCCAAAATAAAATAAGAAAGGTGGGAATTATAAAAACAAAAGTAATAGCTCCACACTAAGCCCTTTAATCTTGCATAGACTTTTAATGAACTCAACCCAATCATTTTGCACAGTCGGGCAACCCATGTCTGCTTACTTCGGGGACATCAGTTTATGGAGTCATCAGACACGAAAAGAGAGACCTGGAAGCAAATTACCGTAGGTCCTTGCATCATGTTTTAATTGGATAGCTGAGGGAGAGAGAGAAAAAAGGCAAGTCAAACAGAAAATAGGAAATTAAAATGGGGAAAAAAAGGCAAAGACCGCATAAGTCCATATCCATTGAAAACGCGACTGGGAGCCCTGCAATAGACGGAGACTAGGACCAGGACCGCAGCGAATAACGGTTCCTGGCTATCGAACAGAGCAAATCGGGGAGTTTCGAATGTTGGACTGGATATTCTGTGTGCATTTGGTTTTAATGTTTAGTTTCTGGAAGATTTGCTTTTTGATTATGAGGTTGCTATACTATATTTGACTTCATTATTATATGAGCTTTGTATCAACACTAAGACAAGAATTATGCCAATTTAGCTATGACTATCGAGATACTATGATCTACAAGTCCAGATCTCAATCGGTTCTATTCAATAAGACATTTCATCATTTGCTTGTGAAGACAGTCTTTAATGGCATTCTGTATGTTTCTTTTTCAAGGGTAGACACACATAACAGAAATAAGACGATATCTCGAGTAAAAACGGGAGCGAATCAAAAGGGACAAAAGAATAGATAACAATGAAATAAACGAAGGCCACAAAATCCAACTAGCGATCAGATGATCAAAAGAAATAGAGATAAATAAAACAGCGAAGAGAAATGGCCTCATGATCCCCCACGCCGTCCTGCACCAGTGCATAAACCCCTTCCCATTTGGTCATATCGAGGAAGATAAAAAGATAAAACACGAGAAGAAACAGAAGATAATTCAAAATGAACCAAACACAAAAAAACAAAAGGCACAGCCTAAGTGCATAGACTATGCGAATTCTGAATAGGATCGTAACGACTATAAGCTGTTGAGTAAACGGGGTCGTATCCACCAGTACTAGACTGGCGGTGTTGGTGGCTGGGAACCCCTGTATAGGTATTATCCTGATAGGGATCTGATTTGAGGTAAAGGTCAGACTTGATTGTATCCATGGGGTCCATAGTGTCGATCATTGAGTACTCAAACCCAGAAGAGGAGGAAGAGGAGATGAGAGGACTATCGCTGAGTGGAGAATGGTCTGTAACATTCACTTTGCGGTGATCAGATCTGCCGTAAGAAAGACCGTTTCGATGAGACGCCTCGTACATGAGCATGTGTGGACGACCCGTTTGGCCCAGCCCATGGGGAAGGACACTGCAGGTGGTGCTGTCTCCGCCAGCCCCATCCGGACCCATACTGCCCGTACTGCCACGGCGTCCGTCCTTGTAGTGACCGGGAGAACGTCCGCGGACGACCAGGGGGTGGGAGTGGCGCCGGGCGATTTGTATCCACTCGGTTTCACCTGGAACCGAGCTAGCAACCTCAGCGTACAGTTCGACGACCAGATTGTAATATTGTTGCTGGGCGCGTCGCTTGCCGTTGTTGGCGGTCGCTTTTTGGAATTGGATGCGTTCGAATACGTGGGAGGTTGGGGGCTGGCACGGCTGAGGTGTCCCTGCGAAGGAAGGGTTGTAGTCCATAGATTGCGAGCCAAGGGGGAATCCAGAAAGACTTCCATTAACTGATGAGGTTGCTGTAAATGAAGGTGGAGGTGCAGGCTGAAGAACGACACGACCGGGTTTGCGTTCGGATTGCTTGTCTCGCTTTGGGGTGTGTTGAACAAGTTCTCGGGTTTCTCCATATTGACCGTTCACGATAGCGGAAATTGCCATTGAAAATCCACGGATGGGTTCAAGGGTCTGGTCAGGATAGCGGATGTATAGGGGAGCAGTGGGAGGCCAAGGATGAAGACCAAAACCGCAGGTCACTGCAAAGTAGTTGCGGCGATAGCAAGTCCACTTGCCCTCAGCTGGAAAGGGCCCTCGACCCATTTTTGCTTGGACATCTGGTTTCACTGTTTGATATTGGCCACCAAATTCTGCAACAACTGTATGAAGAATAGTCGTGTCATCAAAAGGCGGAGCCTCAACCTGGGGCTGCGAGCGTTGTGAGGACTCCACTATCGGTTGCTGATACATATTATTCTGAGATCGATCCATCCCGCTATCTAAAGCGCGAGGAGTGCCGGGATACCCATGGCTACGGGAGAGATCGTTCATTCCCCCCAAGGGCATACCCATATTTCCCATTCTGCGCTGTAAAGCGTATGAACCGTAGGAATTATTGCGTCCCATGAGTGCCGGAATGGAGTTCAAGCCATGTCCTGAGCTTTGCATACCGGATGGCATACCAGTCGGCGGTTGACTAGATGAACAAAGATCAGTACACATGAGCCTCATCCACCTTTTATCGTAAGAGCAAAAGCTTACAGCGCGGGCACCCGTTGATAGTCTGCCATTCTATCAAAGGGATGCTGAAGCCGAGAGATTTGAGGGAAGAGGGGACCAGATGTGGGCGAAAATGAGTCTTTACAACACCACAATTTATCAGCCAAAAGGAATGATATCAGGGAGGTATAAATATAAGAAAGAGGGGCTTACCGGGACAAGAGTCTGGTGGAGTCATTGCAAGAGCACCGGAACCAGAATATCTAAAGCAAGGAATGGCTCAGTCAAAGCCCACCATGGGAAATCCACGTGCGATCGCCTGGAATTAAAACCAGAAGATATCATATGAGTCCGGGCGCAGCGCGGAAACCATGATGCGTAAAAGGACAATCGAAACGGGGGGCGAAAGAGGCAAGGACTTCAACGGCACGAGCTCGGATAAAAAGGACAAAACATCGGAAGACAGACATGCAGGCAGCAGATTGGTATGGAAGGTACAGAAACCGGCTGGACTGAAGTTCAAGCTGCCCGGACCCGGAGGAAGCGCAGCGACAAGGGGGTCGAGAGGCTGACTGAGTGGAGCGCAAGGGCAAGTCCGGATTGAAAGAATAGAAAAAAATAACTTACTGTAAATCCTGCATCACAGGCTGCTGTGTGTGGTACCTCACGCCGTTGGTGTCAGGTATAGAAACGAGACCTCCGACTCGCTGGTTATTGTCGTCTTCGTCCGTTACGAACCCTGTCACATGGGTGTTCATATAGTCACCCTCTGAAGTAACGGGATCGTTCAATGAGAATACCTCCGAGAGAAGTGCTGGGGAATTCATAGGTTAGAGACAGGGAAGATATATGGGGGAGAATTTAAGAAAGTAAAGGAAAAAGAAAAAAGCTGCCAGAAAACAATATCGAATCAACTGCATGACGGAATGAACAGGGAATGGAAAAAGAGAGAACGAGCTTACAGGGATTCATCCTGAGCGTGCTGATGCTAGGTGCCTCGAGGACCCTTAAGTTTTCTTTTTCCTTTTTTTTTTTGGGATTGAAATGTAACACTGGGCGAGACGCCAAAGCAGTCTGGCCTTGGAGGTCTTGGGTGGCAAGAATTGGGATGTCTAGAATAGCAGCAAAGGTTAGGTAAGGTCGAAAGAACTCTGCATAGTCAAACTCCCTCACAGTACTCGATTGATACCTCTGGTATCTGGATCACTTCAAATGGCGTGTGCTTTTAAAATCCTATGAGAATCACAGAAACAAAGTGATCAATACACCTCCTCTTAGTCTTGGATATAAACCAAAACACAACTCGCACAGTAAGTAGTAGTTTGGAAAGACAAAGTAATAAAGCTTGGAGTGAAGGGGAGTTGACAAGAGGGTGGGTGATAAAGAGCAAAGAAGTATAAATGAAGATAGGAAATGTCTCCAGGGTTATAAAGATGAGGGTGAAGAGTGATACATATGTAGTATTCTCAGTAAAACGATGCGTAAAACGGTGTCCTTTTGGACAGGCGTTGACAAGAAGAAGTAGATGAATGTCCGAGCCAAAGGAGTGCGTCATCGGTGTATAGACATGGCTTCCTAATTGGGAAATCTCGCATCAACTTAAGTCATCGGTACAAAGGTACAGTAAAAACAGTGCTAGAATAGATCGGGCCAGAATCTATGTTGCAAACCACGATCTAAAAGGAGGGGGGTATGAAGAAAGAAGATTGGGGAAAGAAAAGAATTAGCCAAAAATTGACCAAAATTGACCCAAAAAAGAAAATAAGAATAAGAATAAGAATAATAACAATAATAACAATCACAGTTAACGGAGGGGCAAATCAAAATCCCCAAAAAAGATATACAAAAATACAAAAATTCAAAAAATAAAGGACCAGAAGGGGAGAGGAAAAGACTGTACTGATGTAATCTGGTGTGACAGCCTTGAAGTATGAGCAAATAAAAAGCTCTTGTCCCGACACAAGTATCTTGGTATTGCAGAAAGAAGAATGCTTCCAGTTCTGCAACCCTAGCTTGGTATTTAAGAAAGAAGCACGGTCAAAGCAAAGTAGATCTTTAAGGGAATCATTTCTTTTGACAGGTTGCAGGAAGTAGATCGGTGGCTTACCTGATAAATGGAGTTGGATAAGTGTGAGGTGTAAAAATAAGATGTGGTGTGTATACAATTGATCGTTCTGGTCTTTAGAAATAAGAGAAACGTTGCAATTGAGATTTTTTTCACTCGAATGAAAAAAGAAATCCGGACTATAATCTTTTTTGGTGTCTAAACCCGTTCTCGGGATTGTTACTCCTGGAAGGATCATTAGTCTACCCTAGTAAGGCTCTAAACGGGGCCATAGTCTAGCCGATAGGCGATCAGAACCACGAGTTGGGAACCTGCCAGGGACAGTAAATTACGTTGTATTCGGCAAGTCTCCAAGGTGAGTTTGCATAGGGGTCCAACCATAATGGGCGAAAGATATCCGCAATATCATTTTCTGTGTATAATCTCTTTGGAAAAAAAGAAAAAAGAAAGTAAAGAAAGTAAAGAAAGTGAAAGTAAAGAAATTTATAATATTATAACATTATAATATAATATAATAATAATATTCTTGCTTTTTCTCAATGATTTGTATTTTGAACTTCTGAATTTGGAATTTTAGTTCTCCGGGTCAAGCGCAAATACGGAATAGTCTAGGTGTGTATCTCCATAGTAAGGGGAAGTAGCATCAAATCATCACCGGCTCTACACATTTTGATTGTTTAAGGAAAATGGTATTGGTCAGAACACCCTATGTTGCGTGCTAGGAGGACCCGATTCCGGCTGCACGGACCGTGGGTAAGGCACAATACGTACACGTTGTATGTGTTTTCCATTACAGATAATTCCCGATGGGATCAGATGTCCTAGTGCGAATACCCGACAGACGGGTCGCTGCAGGAGAGCGAAATAAGATGAAACTAGAAAGGATAGAGGAGATGATCGACCCCCAGAATATGTACCCATGCAGACCCATGACAGAGGTGGTTGATGTATCAGACTGAAGGGGGATCACAGACCAATGACAAAAAAGGGTGGATTAAACATGCAGAAATGACTAAATCGGATAGACAACCTTGACGGAATCCTGTAATGTTTTGTTGCAAGATCTATTGGAGTGGTTTCCGTCAGGTTGATTTCCAAGTTGGATTCTTTTAAGCCGTAGGAGGCTCGAGGCACGAGCAGCAGTTTTTGCATGAAGAAAGTGGAGGATCATGCGATCGACAAGTTCCATTTAGCAGGTTGCATTGTCCATGTTGGCGGTGTTCACACCGACAGAACCGACCCGACCCGGGAGAGCAATAAAAATAGCACGTTCACGATGATGCACCCCCAACTAGATCACCCCCACTTCGAAAGAGAGCCAGATGGCTTTGGTAAGCCCGGCTTTTCTTCTGGCGCCAAACCGTAATAGTGCCCTAACTGCAGATGGGAGTCTTTCGTCTCCACTCGAGAGGCTAAAGCAGCCTAGCGGGGTATATAATGATTGCGGTCCGTACCCGGGAGCCTTTTCCAGAAAGCGGCACTAGTTCCACCGTTCCACCGCTCCGTCCAAGGAAATATCAAGGACTGAAAGTCATGGATTCAAAAAGATCCTGGCCTCCATGAGTGGACCCGTCGTGATCGTGTCGACAGAACCGCATTAGTGGCTAGAAGATCGGCCATCCTGCAGGAGGGCTGGGTGAGATGGCAAGGTGCAGTGAACAAGCACCCGAAAGCTGATGATTGGCTGGATAAGCCGTAGATTCGATTTCATCAATGGGTATAGCGGGTATGTTGTGCAGCTATTTGCCCCACACACACAATAACAACAACCGTGCTCGTACCGAACTCGGTACTAGGTGCAGAGTTGCTTAACCATATCAGGGTAATAAAGTACTAATCAAAAATACTAATATCGAATCATATAGTCAAAAAATTAAGGAGGGTGACAAGAGAGTCTAGTGGGCGGCAATGACATCTTTTGTTTTTTTTTGACTCTCGGGGGATCAGCTCCTTCCCGGATGACGGTCATGGGGTTGACACGTGCAGGCGGTGAACTAGAAGATACACGAAATTTACTTGAATCAGGGACATACATGTATCAGGTACATTAACTTAGAATATTAGATGGGTAAACAGACTATGTACAAGGTACTTTTGTATCTTGATGCCTACTACCTAAATACATGTATGTACTAATAGGGCCTCAAGCATATATAAGATTCACATTGGCGTTTTAAATTTATAGTGTTCATTTCTATTTATTTCCATTTACAATCCCATTTGGAGGTTACCAACTCTAATTGAAATCAAATCTCAAATCATTCATGCACCTAATAATGCACCCGAAACACACTATCAGATCCATCGATCCACTTACCTGTGAACTGTCCACATGTCACTTTTCGATATATCAACTCTACTTTGTGCCTACGGTATAACACTTTATGAGATACAGAAGAGAAACGAGTGCTCAGAAATTGTCCGATACGTGGGTATATTCAGGCCTGCAGGTACCTCGAAACCAAATGCCAATAATAATTTGACTTTTGAGCAAATGCATGAACCCATCTATGGATATTTATCGACAAGGATTAGCCCCAAAACCCTTGACGCCGGAAAAACTCTGAAAGTTTGATGTTGCAACTGTCTCAGCCAATCTACCTAGTGCCTTTGGAGACCCTGTCTCTGTTTCGGGCACGTGCCATCTACCGAGTCTGTTCCCCCATGGTTGACATCTCCAAAAAAGAAGTGCATTTCCCCGCGCAACGATTTTTCACTGCAGGTCAATGGCAAAGCCCGTGGCCAATGACATGCCTTTCATTGCTGGTTACATTCGGGTGTTCGATCTTTGGACAAGGGGCGAAAAGCTACAGCTCGGCCCTGCTAGGCAACGGTAGAGAGCTATAACCACATACCGGAGTCCGGAGTGCTGACTTAATCGTGTTATGGGGGCCCCGGGGGTTATTTACGATTTTTACAACAGCCGAACATAAAAAACCCCCCAAAAAGGAAATCGCCATTGGCCAATAATCTAACTTGGGTACAGACCCAGAGTGTCATCCTAGACTATTATCCCCCTTGTCTTGCTGCCTCAGCCCCATATGCTCGTTGCTCCAGGATCTTATGATGCGACACGCCCGGTGGACCCATATGCCATGTTCAATGCACCAATCCTGGTCGATTGGGTCTAGAGTTCAAATTCTTGCATGTGGAGATATTCCTGGACTACCAAGTAAGGAAAGAGTCAGCACATCCTCATATCCGATAATAGCTCTTCTACCTCAACTGAGACAGATTAAAGTTTTACTTTCCCAACGGCCGACGTCTCCAGGGCTTCCCTTCCATCCCGAGACATCCACCGGCCTTGACCGGGCAAAGAATTGATTTACCTAATTCTATACATTGTACCATCTCAAGAGACATACCGTATTGAGCTAGCACATCTATTCAACGGAAATAGTACGATTTCGAACCGAATTTTCCCCTGTATTGTCGACCATGGACATTGAGCAGTTCAGGCCTCTATGGCTCCACAATTCCTGGTATTGAGTCGCCTGGACACAAGGTTCTGTGATGGGTTACCTGTGTATCACTTCTTCCGAGATTGAAGGTTACTTTCAGTGAAAGTAGACCCGAGTACTGGTAGAATACTGCAATGGGCTAGATGTCCTTGGGAAATTGCAAGATCATTTTCGCCCTCGACTTCCCTGTCAGCAAAGGCAAGAGTTTGCCCCGAGACTGGGATGATCATTGGCAGTTTCCCCACCGCGTCATCTCAAACTTTGATCACCCTGGATCTATAGCCCGCCAGCATAGATCGTATCACGACCACGAAGCTCCCGGGCAAAAAGTTCCATCGAGTCTGAAGTATCCGACCCTGTCGGCATGGATGGAAAGACAAGGCACCAATCAGGCAAGGACCCCAATGGAAAGAAGTATGTCTCATTGGCTCGCCGACCTCCAAAATTCTGAATATGAAGCTTGTCAGGCGAGGAAATATGCTTTGGATGGCGTTGGATGCAGACCAAAGACTCCACTCATCATCCAGCAACTCATCCGGCTGTTTTTTTGCCTCTCCGTGGCGATTCTTACTATCCCTTGACAACCATCCGGGGAGTAGCCCAGCCAACCCTAAGCCATGCCGATGTAGCACGGAGGAACAGCCAAGAAAAAAAACTTGCTCACCGGCCGAAACGCTCTCAGTCAAGAACTGCCCTTCTAGTCGAACCCCTCGAGCCAATAACAAGTGGATCATGGTGTTTGGCGCCGACATTCCCTGCAATGTCACTAAGACTTCGGAACGTCATGAAAGCCCCCTTCACATGTGTTTGGCTGCCATACTGGAAGCTTCCGTGGCGGGGTGGAATGCTAAAGCACGGTGGGCTGAGGCGCTTCCGAGGGAGCTAGGGCCAAACCTACAGGGAACATTTCGGCCCCCTCCGCCACCGTCTACGTAGCCCGTCTTGTTAGGGGAGCATTCGGCGAAAAGCCGGACCCGTAGGTAAGCTTTTCCCGCCGATTCAAGTCTCTTTCCTAAAAGAAACACCGATGCTACGTTATGCAACCCAATCCCGTTACCGGGAGATTTCAACGCAACTTCTGCCGACGAGGCTGGGTCTGGGTTTGACTTGCTGAGATCTAATATCGATCTGTACATTGGTACTTTGGTGATTGACCCTGGGATCTGGCACCCGGGGGCGTAGCTAGTACGCAGTAGGATGAAGCTAGGGCATAATAGGAAAAAATTCCAGGTTGTCTGGGGTTCATTTCCTTCCGATGTCATCTCCACTGTCATGCGAGGATGCAGAGAATTTGATGTCTCAATGCAATCCCTGGAGCCGTCGAATAATCGAACAGTCGAGGCCTGCGACATTTTTCTTCCAGATGACAGATTCGCCGTCAACGGCGTGCAGGATTGTTGTCAGCCGAGTCTGGCACCTGGGCTCCAGATTTGAGTGGCTAGCAGGGTGGGAAGACGTGGAAATTTGCCAAGGCTGGAGTCGAAAGCTTGCAAAAAGCAGGCTGGCTTTGATGCCTGGGTTAGCGTGCCTGGGTTAGCATCATTTTGTTGGCAGCTTGAGGTATTTTGAGCTTTTTACCAGGGAGTTTACCCATTAACATGTCTAGTGGACGCCGACGCAGTTCCAATCCAACGATGATCTTCATCTCGACGCTGATCCGCACGTCGAAAAACAAATGAAAATCTGGGTGGTGAATTATTTTAGCAGACTTGGCCATGGATGCTGTTTCTGGATGTCGTCCCTTCACCCAAGCACGGGGGTGGTTTCCCATGGATGCTTGAGAAGTTCCATGGTAGCCGTGAAGCAATTATAGAACAATTGCTTCGAGAAGAACCTTGAAATTCAATTATTATCAAAACGCAAAGAAACACAGCTACCGTGGATGAGGGTACGACCCGTGAAACAACCAAGAAAACCATGTATGAAGTTCAAAATTTCTCTAACCCATTGCTTTTGTATAGACTGACGAATGCAAGTAACTGACATGCTGGATGTCTTTTTGGGAATCATCATTATCAACCATGTCCTACAGTACAAGGAAAAGAGCTTCGGCCCAAAGATAGGCCCGCCTGAGAAGAAGGAAAAGTTCCATTCAAAAAGTCGTAAGAGAGAACCGAGAAAGAAATTTAAGTAGTGCGCTTGGCGAACTCGACGCGGAGAATAAGGTGGCGGTAACCGACTAGCAGAGAAACAGGTTAGCACTCGAGGAACTCGTAGAAAGAAAACCACGAAACGGGATATTGAAGACATACAGCCATCCACCTTCTCGCAAGCAAGTGCTGCGTCGCCACGATCCGCATAGCTGATGAAAGCAAAGCCCTTGGCCCTCTGGGTTTCCCGATCCCGTGCAAGGAAGACTCTGGTGACACGACCGAAACGCTCGAAGAGATCCCGCAACTCGTTTTCCTCTGCCAACTCGCTGACCTGGTTGCAAAAAAAAAAGTCAGTACCGAACCAAAATAAACAAGCATGAAGCTCGTAGAGCTCGTAGAAAGCAGAATAACACCAAAACATACGTTTGTAACTCTCAGAGTCGCCAAATCGTCCTTCTCGAAACGACCACCCATCTTCTCGCCGCCACCAGCACCGCCCTTCCGCATGTGAGGAGGAACGTAGCTGGACTTTCCAGCACCAAGACCACCCGCATCGTCCTCTGCCTCGGCGCCAGCAGCAGCAGCAGCAGTGCCCTCCTCGACGGGGGCCATAGTGTCCTTGAAGGGACAGCGAGCCGTGAAATGCTCTCCACTGCAAATACGACACTTGACCTTCTTGTCCTTCAACTGGTCCTTCATGCTGCCCTTCTCGCCACCCTCCTTCTCAGCCTCCTTAGCGTTGGCCTTCCAGTTAACGCTGGGACGGAAGACAATGTTCTCGCCGACGGAAGTGGTGTCGAACGAGGGACCGACGGCGTGGCCCTTCTCGAGACCGAACTTGTCCCATTTGCGGCGTTCGGCGACCTGGGGGTTGACGTGTTCGCGGACAATAGTGGTCTTAATTCGGCGGGTGACCTTCACTTTCTTGTTGTCATCGTTGTAGCGGTAGGAAATCACGGTCTTGGTGCCGTCCTTGTTCGCGATCACTTCTTGCGGCGGGAGCACGGAGGGGTCATCGAAATCCTCGTCGTCAGCCCAGTCGGCGCGGCTGAAAAATAAAACGTTTTGTTAGGCCAGAATTTTTTGTAGGGCTGAAACTGGGTATACTCACTTCCCGGTTGGAGACATGGTGTAAGTGATGGTGTGATTACGGCTGCTGAATTTCTGGATTTCTTTCAAAGGCGAATCCGTTGTGGATTTAATAATTTGCCGTGGCGCAGCTGTGGCTGGTGGCGGAAATCACGTGGCGCGGTGTGTATAACCCGCCCAAAGTGGTTCCAAGGTTCTCGACAAGCTCGTTTCTACAACATACTGATGGAGTAAATATTTCTCGCACTCTTCCTGTTTTCTCGGTGAGAAATATAGTGACATTCAGCGTGTTCCCAAACATTAGATCTCTCCGTGGAAGCCATTATCAGACATAATTAACTTTGAGGGGTCTTTTTTTCGAACCAGAGCAATTATTTGAGAGTGTGTGGTCACTTGCCCTGATCTCGTACTTCACCTCGTGGTACTCCTCATCATCAGCGCTAAGTAAGGCTGAGACAAGCTCCTTTAATATGCCGCCAGCTAGAATGGGAAACCACACGGCCCTCCACTCTTCAAGCAAACTGATCCTGCTAAACACGAGGCGCTGTTTAACTAGTAATCTTCTAGTTTCAATGGGAAATACTACAGGTGCTTGCGTACGCTTATTGTCCCGTGGCTCGACAGATCTTAGATATCTCGCGCCCTCAGATCGGACACGATCTTCCCTTTCGTTTCACATGTGCTGCGATAAAGAGATGTAGATGCCTTAGGCACCTACTCTTCTTTAGAGATCTATATTGTCCCAATATAACTTTGAATTTTATTTCGCTGAAAACCGGATCGTGGAAATTCAAGTAGGTGCTAGTCTAGTCATTCGTAGATTGACAAAAGCAGGCTTAGCAACTTCATGCGTCTTGGCACGGCGTAATTAGCAAAATAAGGCAGAAATGGAATCTACTGTCTACGAGCTTAGGGCTAGAAGCTTCCAAGGTTGTTACTATCTGCAAACTCTAGCAATACTAACGTGTAATTAGTTCACGTATAGCCCTCGAGTTTTTCCCACCATACTTTCTAGTACTACGTTTTGTTGAAAACATTTGTTGATGGTAGCCTCTCTTGATATTGATGTACATACGTAGAAATAGAATGCGAAAAAAACTGCGAAAAAAACTGCAAAACAGAAAATGGAAACATAAATCTCAATATGTGTCCTGACAAAAGGCAAAAAAGGCAACCTTGGAATAAAGAACGAAAGGAAACCGTGAACAACTCGCATGGCCTCCTTAGTAGGTATAGTGGTTGTTTCGTCTGTGCTGAACCAGATTGTCCGCACGATTGAAAGCCTTGTCGCAGCCTTGGACTGGACATGGGTGAGCGAGAGGCCTGATATGTATTTTCCGGATGTGGCGGATGAGAGAGGATTCCCGCTTGAAAGTGCCTCTGTAGGCACAGCCTTCCCACTTGCATTGGAACTCCGGATCGTCGGGGCTGTGCGGAGGTGAACTATGGAGTGAGTTAGACATGGCTTTGATCTATATTGCATATCTGGGAAGTGGTCTTACCCGCTGACTTGGCGTATTCTAGCCCGGCTTTGAGTGTTATTCCGTCCCCTGGAAATCACAGCCGCTTCTTGGGGTAGATTTGGTTGGGCAGAAATTCCAGAATTTGCGGCGTTCTGTTGGTGGCGCATGCTAGTTGACATGGCATGAGTAGAGCCCCCCTGCACCGCCAAGGAATTCGCCCCGGTGCGAGGAGATACGTAGGAGGCTACAGGTGCACCATTTGGCATGGAAGCTTCGAATTCTGCGGATGCACTCCAGCCGAAATTGGAGGCTAGATGAGGGAAGTTCTCGACAAGATTTTCTGGATTATACCCGTAAAGACGGATATGTTCCAACTGTTGATCATATGGCCATGCCATGTTGAGCTAAGCGAATAGTTTAATGAAAGAAAAGCCCCCAAGACAAGGGGCCAAAAATAAGTAGTGCTAAAGGATTGTTGATGGGAACGTACGGGGAATTGGGAACGTACGGGGAGTTGGGAACCGTGAGATATTTATCTTTTGTCTTGGGGCTGTAGTAGCAATGAATCTGCAGAAAATGAGCCTCGGTGCAAATGATAGGGTTAAATATTATTCACGGTCGGATGGCTATGAGAACCCAAACGGAGCGCAACGACGTATGCGATCTGTCGAATGAGGTTATTTTCTCAAGCGGAGCCTGGGTGTAAACCATAGGTAGGATCTTTGCGATGGTATATAGGAACCTAAGAGAAGAGTAACGATATATGAGAACCATCGAATGAGGTTCTTCTCTCAAGTGGAGTCTTCATGGAGTCTTCATGCAAAGTATAGAATTATTTATTATTCGCGATCACCATATACTTAAATATGTACCTATGAGAACCTCAGGGGAATGGTACGATATGTGAGAACGGACGAATGAGGTTCAAGCGATCGGATAGACTCCTTTCCGAAACCTCCAACACACGCTCCTACTGACTGCAAATATGGATTCGATAATTGACAGATCACAATGGGTTATAGGGCAGATAGTATGTGATGTTCACGAGGCTATGCGTGCCAAGCCACCTCAACACTCGCAGCGATATGTGCGAATCGACCAATGAGACTGCAGATTTCTGACTATTGTCACTGGTTGCCTTGCAGCCTGTGGGATTGAAATACCTTTAGAGCTAGCCAAATGGTCTGCAGTTTTATGACAGTTCTCTCAGAAGGCTTGTCCGGCACACTCCTCGACATAGTTCACTCCACCAACATTTCCAACAAATCTCACAACCATGGCAGAATCGGATTTCGAACCATTCAAGCCCGAAATCGAGCGTCTGTACATCTATGAGAACAAAACCTTACGCGAGGTGATGGATTACATGGCATCCAAATACTCTTTTTCCAAGCCGTAAGTGTTGCAATACCCCGAGGTCACTCCACTCAGCTCACAGATAGAAAGCCCAGGACAGTACGCCCGCCAACTCAGAAAATGGGGATTTGCGAAGGGTCACATCAAAGCGGACGAGTGGAATTGGATTGGAAACAAGACGAACAAAAGAAAATTAAACGACAACAAAAAAAGCGAATTCCACATTGGTGGGATGGAGGTTCACGTGCCAAAGCTCAAGAAAGCAAAATACAGAGATGCCTATGTTTCGACTATGGCTAGGTTCTCTACTGGTAAGCTACGCATATGCCTTGGATCAGATCAGAGATTAATAGACTGATTGATTCCTAGCTCCCTCCCCGAAAACCCCTGAAGGGTTCTCTGTTTGCACCCCAGCATCGCCAGGGATGCATCTTATCTGGAATGGTGGGTCACTCCCATGGCAGCGCTTCATCAAACTTGTGTGCTCCATGGAGAAGGAAGGTATGGATTCTCTGGCTCATCTTTTTCCGACTTGATGCGGCCGAGGCTCACTGGATATTTAGAAGCACCACCGCCGACCTCGTCCCTGGCTGTTCGTTCCCCTGGTGCCGATGCGCTCTCTACCACTGTCAACCACGAACTGATGCATCGTCTGAGCACAATGGTACCATGGAATAAACTAAATCAACCCCCAAATATACATAGTAGCTCTCGAACATCGGCAGCTTTGAGCATACTCATACCAGAGGACTTTCAGGGCCAGCACGATGCTTTGTCGATGGACTTGAGCAGCTCTACAATCAAGGCAAAAGATCGCATGGCCTTAGAGCTTTTTCTTCTCTCAAACAACATCAAGTCGCAAGATTCAGAGAAAATGACTGAGAGAAATATGAGATCGAATGACGAGCGGGTTATGCAAATGTTGAGCGATTATGGCTGGAAGGACTTGGAACATATTCAGGTCCTTTTATCAACTCGCGAGCCAACTGCCGAAGCTATTGCTGAAAGATTGTTTGCAAGTTCATTGAGGCTACACGATGTGGATGTAGTGAAAATGATGCTCGAAGCCCACATGGATCCAAACATCCCATTGATCGAGACAATTTTTGACGGTGTCCTGACACCTCTTCAATTCACTGCAGGAAGCAAGCATAAACGCAGTGAGGAGCTTGTTAATCTTCTTATATCCCATGGGGCGGATGTGAATCACTCGGGCAATGCGTACCCGCCTTTGTTTTATGCCATCAACAAACATGAGAACAGAATCATCCATGCTCTTATGTTTCATGGTGCTATTGTAACACCACATTGCCTTTCTATTGCGACACATCTGAAGGACATTGAAGTCTTTGAAGACATCACCAACTCCTGTTCCGATGTGAACGCCCGAACAGGATGGCAGGACTTCAGTGCTCTTTCCCAGGCCGTTAAACAGGGCAATATCTCGATGATTGAGATTTTACTCGCCCGAGGTGGCAATGTCAATGCCCTAGTGAGCACCTCTTCTGGGGATAATTTTGGGGCTACCACTATCTTAGGCATTGGCGCTCAGTCAGGATCTATCGATGTTATACGTGTCTTGCTGGGGGGCTGTCACGAGATAAACCCTGAATTCAATGGCTTGCGTTATGTATCGCCTCTTGTACTAGCGGTGCAAAGAGCAAATGCTAAGGTCACTCAGACTCTACTACAAGCTGGGGTCGATATCAAACTAGCCGATGAGCAAGGAGGAATGACACTGCTTGAACATGCCACCCAACACTATTCCCCGAAGGAGGCCTTGGCCCTGTGCGAAGTTTTGATTGAACATGGGGCTCAAGTTGACAGACCGGTTTCCGCTCAGAAACAAGAGTCCTCGGCCCTTCTCATTGCAGTTGAGAAAAATTCGCCCGAACTTGTTGAGCTCTTGATCTGCGCAGGCGCACGTCTCAACGATGAATACACTAAGCCCCCTTACACTGCACTTGGAGCTGCCATTAAACATTTTGACGGAGTATTATTCAATAGCCTCTTGGCTGCCGGAGCTACATTTGTGGGAAGCAGACTAGAAGAAATTGGCAGCTTACGCACTGCGATGTACCTGCAGGAAAGTGGAGTTCTTCAAGGCGTCTTGAGGGTATCAGGTCCCAGAATCCTTGCTGCTGCTTTACTTGAGGAACAGGTCGATCTAGCTCAGTACTTGCTTGAGCATAATGCTGATCATGAAGATCGGATCAGAAATGAAGAGGCTTTCCTCTCCGAACAGACCACCCCATTAGAGGCAGCAATTCAAGCAGGGGAGCTTGCCTTTGCAGAAAAGCTTTTGGCACGCGGTGTAAAGGTTACAGAAAGTGTTCTTGTAAATGCTATGGACGGAAATCTTGTATTTCTGGAACACCTACTGACCAGGTTCTGCGGAAGTGCCCCAATTGCAGTGGGAATCGCACTGAGAGACGACAAACCTCTACAACTGCTTGAACTGTTTCAAAAGCAAGGAGTGGACCCCGCTGGCGTACCAAAACATCTCCAGAATCGTTTGTGTTTGGGCGCTTTTGACCTGCTGCAACCAGAGTCGGTACTCGAAATAGCAGTGGCCGAAAGGGATAGGGAGATTTTACAATTCCTGCTCCAATGGACACCATGGAGTCCAAGGCTGACTGGGCGCGCCTTGATAATTGCAATACTGTTGCATCTGGATGAACTCGCGGAGGATATACTGCCTTTTGATCCTGATCTGACTCGGGAGATCACCATCGGATACTTTGGCAGAGATTTGTTTGAAGATGTCAAAATAGAGCAAACGTACACTCCCCTCGAGGCCGCAGTCAACAGACAAATGATCCCGATCGCGCGCGCATTGATGGAAAAAGTCGATGTTAACTATCTTGGTCATGGGGCTGGCTGTCGAACAGCATTGCAACATGCCGTTGAAAAAGGAAACATGGAGCTTATCAACGTACTAATTTCGGAGCATGGAGCTAGGATTGATAGCCCTCCTGCCACAGACGGCGGCGCTACTGCATTGCAGATTGCATGTATCAAAGGTTATATCGGCATTGCAAGGAGACTACTTGACCTAGGAGCAGATGTCAATGAAGCTCCCGCAAGATACAACGGACGCACAGCCCTGCAGGGAGCGGCAGAACATGGTCGAATTGATATGCTGCAAATGCTGCTCGACGAAGGGGCGTTGATTGTCGGTGAAGGTGAACCGCAGTATCACAAGGCTGTCGAGCTTGCGGAAAAAAACGGACACTATGCTGCTGCGAGGATGCTAACGTCTTGGAGGGACTCTGTTTCTTTGGATCCCTCGGCAATTTGACCAAGATACTGTTAGATATGGAAGAATGGGGCCCCAAGTTTTCCTGCTAGCAACTGACTTAATTCATTTCATTTCCTTTCCTTTCTTGGGATGATAAACTTGTGAATTTGCCCTCCTAAGTTGAAACCAGTCGAACATCAAATCAAAATTCCTTCAAAGCCTCCTCAGTCCAATCCCACAACCTCTCCGCAAGCACCTCATCCCTCGCTGCCGCATCAAGCTTCCTATTCTCCAACTTCCCAACAGGCTCGTAATACCCCCCATTCCGAATCTCCGCCTTATCCACCGTAGCCGCCCAAGTCTGACTAAACGCACCCTCATGCACCTGCAGCATCCTCCACCAACTAAGCGCATAAACAAGAATCTTCTCCTTAATCCCCAGACCATCAACAAGGCCCGTCCCCACAACACCAGGATGCACCGACACCGATGTGATACCCGGAAACCTCTTCGCGAGCTCGCGCGCATACACCAAATTCGCCAGCTTACTCTGTCCATACCGCACCCACGGCCCACCGAAGGAAATATTTTGCGGCGTCTTCAATTTATCGAAGATGATCCCGCCGCGTGGGTGCAGTCCCCATCCCTGTGAGGTGAGGAGCACGATGCGCGGGTCGGTGGTGGCTTCGAGGAGGGGTAGGAACTTTTTGATGAGTAGGGCGTGGCCGAGGTGGTTGGTGCCGAACTGCAGCTCGTAGCCATCTACTGTTGTGCTCGGGGGTAGTGCCATTACACCGGCATTACACATTAGGATGTTTAGGGTTCGGTGTTGGCTAGTGAAACGCTCGGCGGCTTCTTTGACGGAGCTTAGGGAGGATAGGTCGAATTTGATAAATGTGACTGCGAGGTTGGGGGTGTCTTTATGGATCTGTTTGATCACTTTCTCTGCGCTTGTGGCATTGCGGCCGCTGATGTAGATGTGTGATGGGTTGTGCTTCGCGAGGTGAATTGCTGATGCTGCGCCTAGGCCGCCGGTTCCTAGGTTGGCTGTTAGTTGCCGAATATAGAGAGTAGAAAGGATTAGCTTCATACCTCCTGTAATAAATATTGACTTCCCCGTCAGATCAGGGATCTCTGTCTCGGGATTATAATCGAGAGGCATGGTCGAGGTATGAAATTAGGGCTAGGTGTGTTATGTGCAATGTTGGGTTTAAAAGTATTTTAGATTGCTTTGGATGAATAGTTGTAGTTTCAAAATGAGAAACATCCTCTGGGATTAGTCTGCTTTTTATATTGCGAAGTGTACGGTTTCTATACTCTAAGGTCAGTCATCAACTTGCTGGATTAGGAAGCACCTGGCACCTCGAGGGCTGTGCCGTAAGGCCCCCACATGTGTCTTACTCAGCCAATAAAAACGAAGAGTTTCCGAGCTCACCAATGTAATCTACCTACCCATCTGCATCTGATGGTCTTTGTTCACGGGTTTAGTTATTCTTATATCCGTTGAAAGAACGGCTTGATATTGTACCGAAACGCAAATGATGAGTCGTCTAGATTCATCCGAGTTCGACAACTAGTGGCGTAGAGAGGACAAATGTCAGCTGTAAGCAACATTCTTACAAATCCATGTCAATGACCTCACCAAGGTCCATCTGCTACATTTACGGTTGACAATAGATTTTAATGTTGAAAATGATGCAGAATAAATATGTATGCAACTATGGAGATATATAAATATCCAATACAATGGAGCCTATGCACAAATCTATGAGCCCATCCCGAACCAACCCAATATGTACATCGCGAAAAGCCCAAATACTATAAAATTAAACTTATCGACCAGTCATACGAAGCTCGATGGGTCGCAAGATGCAATATACGATGGCAGAGAAGGCAAAGCCCAACTCAAATCCGACGTCACCACCAAATTCTGGGTCTCCAGCATGCTTGGCGATAGGACCTATCCACCACGTTTGGCTCATGCCCACAATAGCACCGACAATGCCGAAAGCAAACGCCACAGATGCGGCGATTCCCATGGGCAGCTTATCGGGATTGTCATAGTCTTCTGGACGATAGCCACCGAATCCACGTCGGAAAACGAAGTGGTCAACTAGCGCAATGCCGGAGTAAATGGCCAGCCAGTAGGCGATAAGGCTCATGAAGTTCTCGAGGACGGTCTCGAAGTGGGTGTAACCCGGGATAGCAATGGCAAGAGAGACACATGAGGCGAGGAAAGTCCAGATAAATCGGGGCACGCGCTGGGTAGCTCGGCTCAACACCTGCAAGGTCAAGCCGACGGAGTAGATGTTGGGGCAGTTGTTGGCGATAATGGACAGGGCCAGGATGACGAGGCAGAATTTGCCGAAGCCGCCGAGAGGCTCCAGCACGGCTCCGATCAAGCCGCCGTTGCCTGAGGCTAGGTAGCCCTCGGCATACTTGTTGTTAACTCCGTCACCCATAGCCGTTGCGGACATGACGGCGATGCCGAGGAATTGAGTGAAGAGCAGGGGGACGATCAGACCAAGCCAGGCAGCCAAGAAGACCAGGCGACGGCTCTGGGTCTTTGGCTGGTAGACGGTGTAGTCGGCAGCGTAGCTGGTCCAGCCAGTTGCGAAACCATAGACGGTGGATCCAAAGGATAGACAAGAACCCATTTCAGAGATTCCGACTCCCATTGGAATGTTGATGAAATCGCCGGAGTGGGCGAATGTGCCGAAGACGATGATAAACACAATGGTGGTGGGGATCCAGCTCCAATACTCATACACGTGAACGAACTTGTACCCAGCAAAGGTGACGAAGAGTGTGCAGAATGTGATGATGAGAATACCGGCGAATCCGGGGACTTTGGTGTTCACCGCGTTAAGGAGCTGGGCACCGACAATGGCGTTGGCAGCAGACCAACCGACACAGGCAATGATGTTAAGGACGGCGACTAGAAAATTATGAATTAGTATGCACACACAAGCTAATGAATATCCCGAGCTGACTCACTGAATTTTACAGGCCACCATCCAAACCAGAATCGCGAAAGCACCATCTGGCGCAGTCCATAGAGGGGACCGAAGCACGAGAAGAAGCACACGGTCATAACACCGAGGAGGTTGAAAAAGAGACAAACCAAAATGGCATCAACGAAGCCTAAGTCGAACGCAGACTTTCCAAGAACGCCAATGGCGAAGGAGCTGACGACCATGTTTGCGGCCAACCACTAGGTTTGGTCAGTGGAAAAGGCCTCTAGGCCACGGCGATCACGCCAGGTAATTCTTGTAGGAACACACCATGGTACCAATGTTGTAATAGGACGTATCCGTCCGCTCAGAATCTGGAACTCGCTCGACACCTCGCTGCTCGATATTGAACTTGCCGGCTACGCGTTGGAGCTTGGCGTACATAGAATCGCCGTATTCGAAGCTCTCACCGGGCACGGCGCCATCGCTGGAGTTGTCGAATAGCTCATTGCCATTTAAGTCGGAGGTATTGTTCACCTGGGGAGCCTTTTCCAGGTCCTCATTGGAACTGCGGAACGTTTTGGCGAAGTTGGGAAGCATCTTTTCGGTTGAATCCTCACCAACGAAGGCGAAGAATGGAATGAAGATGAGACTATGAACGGGATTAATCGAAGAGCTGGGTAGGCTCAGCGAGACCTAGGAAGATCAGGATGGAGGAATTGAATTCAAGGGCAATGTCACATCATCTTCTTTTTCTTTTTTTTTGCTCCACAGAACGGAATGCGCTGTTAATATAGTATCGAGAATTCTTCACGCGTCCGGCCCCACCGGCGAGGTCGCACTGTGGCAAAGATAGCCCTGTCGCGTGTTCCTCGAAAAATCCATAAATTCCAGAAGACAAGCCGAATGACAAGCCTTTACGACCCATCAAAGGACCCGTCGAACCAATCATAACCCTCCGGATAGCCCTAGCTTATCAGGACGCCGAGGATTGTGCACTCGCTTGGCGTTCTGGTTTTGGTGTCGGGTTGTCATTGGATGAAGAAGTTGTGTGAGCGGGTCTTAATGTGGAATGCCCGTCTCGGGTGTACAGATAAGTATCTCCGACTTCCGATATCTCTGATAGTGACAGTATTCTTTTGGACTCCACCTCAGTAGGCACTGAACTCTCATGATCCTCGTACCAATCAAACTTGTTTGAGATACTTTGATATCATCTACTCTTATCATTTTGCAGGGGCCTTCTGCTTGGCTAAACCTTGTGTTCGCATAACACCCCCCTGATTGGCAGTATCTGAGCCAAACTCCCTTGGCTTTCAATCAAGCTTCCTTGTCCTTGTCAGACGGGAGACGCCGATGTGCGTACAGAGTACTCCGTAAAGCTTCCAACGTTGACATTTACAATTGCTCTTATGTACTTCGTATCTCTCACGGTAATCCCCGTCCCCATGTTTGTGCGGGGGAATATCCACGCTGGGACCTAGCGCTTCTGTACCCCGGAGGTTCTCGGGTTGAACCCCAATATATGTATCCCCAAAGCTTATGCTTCTCAAACACGTGTGGTTTTGATGCTTTGAGATCAGAAATGGGGCAAGCGACTGCGCATAGACTGTGACAGCGAACCTCCCAATGTCGAGCCGGTCGGACATGTCCACACATATCCAAGCATGTTCCGAAGGAAACTGGGTAAGTTTGTCATATCTCTAGCGTTTCACCGTTATTTTCTCATTGAAGACTATACCCAGCAGGGGGAAAAAACCACAGAGATTGCCATTCTGGACTTGAGGTGTGATTGCGGACCAGATCTCTTGACAGATCCGATCATGTAACCTTGCTATCTATGCTTGATTCTGCCTAGCGCGCTCAGCACAAATTGAAAGCTCTTCATTTGTTTCAAGGATGGGATTTTGTACCTAACATCATATGTTTAAGGTAAATCAAATGATTTTGGTATCCTCGTCCTTGGATAGAAGACTTGACCTTTCTCCTGCCTTTTCTCCTGCCTATTCAACCTTATTCTCACGCCGATTGTGGTGCTATTCGTTCGCTTGCTGTACTCCATCATGCTCCACCCTCCTTTGACCATCCGGCTGCCATGGCATTCAACACCCAACAACTGCCTAAGACGAACCTATATTGAAACGGATGGGGAAAACTTCGAATGACTAGCGTGATATTCAATGTTAGGAAAGGATATATTGGGCAAAATCAAGCAACGAAGCGTCATTATCATTACGATCTACAAAAATTTCTTTCTACAAACAAGGCTTACATTTAAAAGAGAGCGAAGTGTAAGCCGATTTTAAAGCTTGTTGAGCTTCATAGATGGCCTAACAAGGGCTTGGCCTGTTATGGGTCTATCTTTGAATTTACTTTGTGTCGCTGTCGCCGTCGCGGGTTCGGTCACGTTGCGATGGGGAACCCTAGTGTCCTAATTTGGGGACTCTGCTGACGTCGTCGTTACTATATGAATACCGTACCTACCTAGGTGGCCGTTGCACTTACAGTCGCGATTGGTCACGTTGCCATGGCGAACCCTACCTAGGTATTTAGTGTCTCAATGCTCTTTCCGAATTGCTGTTACCGTAGTCATCCCAAGGTCTCGGCGTGTTCAGTCACGTTGCCATGACGAACCCTAGCTGTCCTAGCCAAAGTACTTCTTATAATCATAACGCTCTAGTTTTATTTCCCCACCCTGTTCTTCTTGCCGCCTCGTTAATTTTAAAGTGCTCGACCTTAGAAACCTAACAAGGCCAATGATCTCTAGCCAAATAATGTAAAACTACCCCATTTCAATGTATACAATTGGAAAAGGCGGCGTAGACGGCATATAAATCTCGACGGCAAGAGCGATCAAGCTCGACCCTTTGATCACGCGCCATTTTGGCTTCGATCTCCTGGTCTTAAGGAACCTCCTGGGCTTGTTGTTTTGCTTTTCCCTTTTCCCTTTTCTTTCGCGTCGCATATTCACACACTGGAATAATCGACATCTACCTTTGCTGATTATTCACATCATTTCTTTATGTCATTGATGGTTCGAACTGCTGCATAGGCGTCACAAAACAATCTGAGCAAAATGAGTCCTGTCAATCAACAGACAGGCTCAGGCACTATACGTCGCCATTTATTCTCGCTATCATTGGTGTTTCGACCCCAGGCAAACAACAGAGCGAGGTAATTTCATACAAAGAAGACCGAACAATGGAAGAGAAGCCCTGCTAACTAAGATACCAGCATAACTGATGCAGTGCAGGAAGAGCCAACTTGCCAAGAAAGGATCCATTACCCTGTGTTTAATCCCCTAGATCCTCGTCACAACCCAGAGATATCGACCCTGTCGTGGCGTCCCAATGAGCAACAAAATTCGTCTTCGGAATCGCGCAGTCCAATGGCATGGGTCCAATCCATTTCAAGACGATCTCTCCATAGAGCGCGATCGGGTTTATCGGCATTGAGGTCAAGGTTTAGCCACCGTTCTAGTGAAGAAGACAGCGAAGACAGCCCCGAGCAAAGTTTCGTTAGCCCCGTTGCTCTCAGACGCGAAAGACAACGCCACGGAGTTTCATCCGGGGCGTACACCTCAGATACACAAGAGGACGTGAACTTTGGCGCTGAACTATCTCGCATGAATCTTCCATTGTCTTCATCGTCGTCCAAGACTGATGTGGAGTCTCTTCTCCGCCGCGCCTCATCCTTGAGATCGATACCTGATTCGTTTATAACATCTCCCGGGCCTCCATCTACACCCATATTTTATCCACCCACCCGAGCTGTAAGTAATTCGGGGGTAAACTCGACTTGTACACTAGCCACCGACCATGCTCTTGACTTCCAATTTGGAGGAACTGGAGAATTGGGGGCGAATATGGATTCTGAAGATCACTTTGCTCACACCACGTCATCAACAGAGAACGATTTGATACGGCCAACATGGGGCATTGCAATCTCTATTGACAAAGAGATTAAAATGCCCGCTCATGAACTGGAAGATCCTCAGCCAGTTTGTGAAGAGCAGCAGACAACATACCTGCAGCAAGAAAATATCAATCATGCAAGTTCAGATACACAAATCAGTGATGATCAACCAAGCTCATTCCCCATCTCGAGTCAGTCCTCCGCCGAAGTCCGATTTGCATTTCCAGGAATCTATCATGAAGCGTTGTGCCAGTGGGCAAGACAACATGATAGTCCCAGCCCTAGTCTACACACCCCCACTCTCAACGAACACACTCCCAATACCAGTCAACACAGTCCAAGCCCCAGTCAGCACAGCCCCAGGCTCCATGGACAAGAAGAACCCCCTTGCGACTCCCATATCCCACTCGAATGCATCACGCGTCAGGATGATACATACAGCAACCTGCCATATGATGAATACGATGAAGGTACCATACCTTTGGTGCCTCCGCAAACCCCAATTACCCATTCTGAAGAGATACAGCCATTATCTTATGCGAATCCCCTCAATTGCATTTCCAACCGAAATCTTGTCGAAAGATGGCCATCTATCTTCGAAAGACCAACCACACAGCGCTCAAGTGTTGAAGAATATTCAAGCCGTTACACACCCGCTGGTACAACATCACGAGATATGACTTCAACAGAAATGACTTCAATGGAATCAATGACAAACGACACATGGTCCCCATGGTCCCCGATCGACTCTGAACTCCTTTTCCCAAGCCCAGTGGAAGGTAGAAATGAGTATTTCCTTGTTGACGGCAAAACAACCAGCCATTATCCCGACACAGGCAATCACCCAGTAAAATCTGCACAGCATACCACGAGCAACTGTGGTAATACCAGAGCACATCAAGAACTAACTGAGCTGATCTCTCCAGGGATCGTGTCCCTACCGCTCATATCTGGTGATATTCACGGTGCAGGCTTGGAATTTGTGGAAGAGGATACGGACGATGAGTTTTATCCTGGAATTGTGCAGCCAAGACAGTTCTGGTGAAATTCTTTGTTGATACATTTTCATGGAAATGGCCTAGCCAAAGGGCCCCCTGTCCGCTTTGGCCACACTGTATTATTACCTACCCCCTTAACAAATCCTGATTGATTCTTTTACTGCAGCAGTTCATTCTCTCTTTCTTTGTATTTTCTGTATATCTATTTTACGGTCTTTATGCTAATGTCTTGATATGTAGTCACAAAGGAGGATGGGGCTCAACTGTAAACAGAAGTACACCTTCATGACTCTATCTAGGAGGCTACATAGATTTTCATTGAACGCAAAGTAAAACCATCCTCTCATTCATATTCACATTTGTCCTTCATGGTATCACGTATTTGAAGCTACATATATCACTGGGCGATTGATCTGGTTACATATTCAAAGAGTGGCATCACCACCAACATTCAACACCACTCCCAATGAAGTCAAAACCGGAACTCAAGCCATACCCAATACAACTTGCTCCTGTCTCTCCTGCCAGACATTCTTACCCGAGCACGAGCAAACCATCTTATCATTATCCCACACACCCGCACTGCGGGCAATAACACCAACAAGGGTATTCTCATCCTCGCGCTTGAAAGGACCTTCCGTTCCCTTCGAAACAACCATACTCCGACCAATAAGCTCCCAGATTGCCACAGGTCGGTCCAAGAACACACTACCCTTGCCTTTATTGTCAACATCCACAGTACCGAGGATGCCTCGGCACTCCGTAGCCGGGGCGGCAGCATCAGCACCAAGCACCTTGGTCTTTAGAGACTCCCAGATACCACCGGTAGATTCGGCGCCCCGGGAGATATCTCCCGCTTGACGGATAGTGGTCCAGTATTTGCCCGGCGATAGGCCGTTGATTGTCAGGTCGATGAGGGTCATGTTCGGGGAGACCTGGACCATGCGCGCGAGTCCGCGGATATTGTTTGTGACACTCGTTGAGTGTGTTTCGAGGATACAAACGGCGGAACCTGTTTGGTAGTTTATATCAGTTGGTATTGCTCGTGTGTGTCATATAAAACAGTGGGTATGAGCCGGAGATCCCGTACTGTTTGTAGTGCCACTGCCGCGGAGGATGGCATCGCGGCCGGTGCTTTCGATCGCGGTTACGATGGAGCTGGGAGGGGCGGTGCCTTCGATGAAGACAAGCTGGTCTTTAAGGTTTGCTTCGACCTTATTGATTCCTACCGCGGGGTCAGCTTAGATGAAGGAAGGTGGGCTTGCGATGTTCCCTTGAGATGATTACCTTCCAGGCTGTGTACAGAGTTGGAGATAGACTTCACGCAGCCTTCGCAGGTCATTGGGACCGAAAAGGTCGTCTGGATATAAGAATCGCATTAGTATTGGGTGTTTATGAGTCAGGGAGCTCAGATAGTCTGACCTGGAATGGTTCGATCATGGCGGGGAAGAGAGAGTAGATCCGAAATCGGTGGAAGTATAGGAGTATGTGCACAATTCAAAGCGAAGAATGTGAAGACAAAGAGATAGAGGTGATATATTAGAAGAGAAAGATCAGAGTAAAGATCTAAATAAAGATGTGCAATTGCGCTATACAAATTCAAGGTGGGGGCGTTGGATTTCAAATCGAAGGAACTCGGCTTCTGACGAAACGTCATTCCCGAACTTCTCTCCCTTTCAACGTTCCCCCACGAAAAATGTCATCCAGATGGGCAAATGACGACCCAGAAACAGAAGCGATTATCGCCCAACAAAAACGCGACAAAGAACAAAAAAGACGCGCTAAAGCAGAGAAACAGCGACTGGAAGATGCCAACAAAGCTCAAGCTCGGGATGCCAAAGCCAATGGCGAGCTAGGTCCCCCGACAAAACGAAGAAGGCTCTCCAACGACCCCGATGCCCGTCCAGATGACAACGAAGTGGTGAAGATCGAGAAGGAAGAGAAAAACCAGTCGACCCTACTCCGCTTTCCGACTGGAGAATGGGGGCCCTGCAGGCATGTGGATAACTTTGAAAGATTGAATCACATCGAGGAGGGGTCATATGGATGGGTTTCACGCGCAAAGGACATCTCGACGGGAGAAATTGTCGCGCTGAAGAAGCTCAAGCTGGAGAACTCGCCGGACGGGTTCCCAGTCACTGGGCTCCGCGAAATCCAAACTCTTCTGGAGGCGCGACACCAAAATGTCGTTTACCTGCGGGAAGTGGTAATGGGCAATAAAATGGACGAGTGAGTTCTCCGTGCTAGGCTCGATGTTGTTTACATATGCTAATCAATTGGTTCCGATAGTGTATTCCTAGTGATGGATTTCCACGAACACGATCTCAAAGCCCTACTCGACGAGATGCGCGAGCCCTTCCTTCCTTCCGAGATCAAGACCGTCTTGCTGCAGGTAGTTGGAGGGCTCGAATTCCTACATTCACAGTGGATCATGCACCGCGACCTCAAGACCTCCAACCTATTAATGAACAACCGTGGCGAACTTAAAATTGCCGACTTTGGCATGGCCCGCTACTTCGGCGATCCACCTCCAAAGATGACACAGCTCGTTGTGACACTCTGGTACCGAGCGCCAGAGCTTCTTCTCGGCGCTGACAAGTACGGCACGGAGATCGACATGTGGAGTATTGGCTGTATCTTCGGCGAGTTGCTCACCAAAGAGCCTCTTTTACAGGGCAAGAATGAAGTCGACCAGGTGTCCAAAATCTTCGCCTTGACCGGGCCCCCAAATTCTGAAACATGGCCTGGATTCCGTTCATTGCCCAACGCCAAGTCTTTGCGGCTCCCGTCGACATCGGCACCTTCTTCGGCCGGCAACCCGCCTCTACTGCCTCGCTCCCGATTCCCTTACCTGACCAATGCGGGGTTGAGTCTCATGTCAGGATTGCTAGCACTGAATCCGGCCTCCCGTCCCACGGCAAGACAGTGTCTCGATCACAAATATTTCAAGGAAGATCCACGCCCCAAACCCCGAGAGATGTTCCCTACCTTCCCCTCCAAGGCTGGCATGGAGAAACGGAGACGTCATCACACGCCTGAGGCTCCTAAACGGGGCCAGGAAGCACCCGAGCTGGACTTTGCGGGTGTCTTTGGAGGTGCTCCGGGTGGAGATACTGGTGAGGCAGGGGCTGGATTTACTCTTCGATTGGGATAGCTGCTTTTCTTGAGGCTGTAAGAGTAAATAATACCATATTTTGTTTTCTTCTCTGCATTTGCGTTGATTTACATTGTACAATATAAACCACTTCGGAGATATGCTCCGTGCCTCTTGGCTTTCCATTTCGTTTTAGGTGCCCCTTAAGCTTTTAATCAAGTATAATTCAATGTCAATATATTTATGAAAATATCTAAAATAGAATTAAATACAAAAATACAGAATAGAGACAATTTTGGTGTCAATGGCTATAGATGTGGCGATGCATAATCAAGGAGTTGCTGCGGACAGGGTTGATAGATCGCCCCCAAAGCTGATCGGCTCCCGGAGCTACTTTTCTTCAACGTCTCCACGTATTCTCACTTCTCACTTATTCTGAATCCGCTCCTTTTCTTAATTCTTTCTCCATAATTTGTCTAATCTATATTCATTCTGCCATGGCAACCAAGCAACCCGTCTCGTTCGACGCCATCATCCAGGCTGGTAATCACTCCAATCCAAGCACTTGACACCTAGCACCGCGCGAAGTCTGACAGTTTCCCTCCACAGACCGTCAGAAGAAGAAGCACGAGGACCTCGCAAACCAACTCCTAGGAAAGAACCGCAGATCAAGCGCGCCAGGCTCGGGCTCCGGTGCCGGCAAGAAAGCGCAGAACAAACCACAGAATGCAAAGCCTGGAAGCTTAGCAAGCAGGATCGGAGTAGCCAAGGTATGAACAATTCCACCATCCGACCAAGCATGCGACTATACATGCGACCACCATTGAGGAATAATCGTTGACAATCTCTCGCGTTGATATTTAGCGCTCCGCGTCAGCGACCGTGCAACCCAACAAGAACAAGCCCGCACCCACCGCGAACATCAACCGGACACGCGGCAAAACTGGCAAGAAAGATCGCGTGAATGCGGACCAGGTCCGGGCCGCTTTCCAACCCGAGAATGTCCAACGGAACGCGCGATCAGGCAACTTTGCACCAAACAGCCGTCTATCCGGTGGCAGCAACATGACCATTAAGGGTGCTTCGGGCCCATTCTTTGTCACTGGAAGGAACTTTGCGCCCGGGACAACAGCTGCCGATATCCAGTCTGCTCTGGAGCCCATAACAGGTCCCATGCTCAGCTGCCAGATAGTAGCAAGCCAGCCGAGTGTTGTTGCGGAATTCGCATATGCGGAGAAGACGGCTGCAGAGCTGGTGGTTGCCAATTTCCACAACCAGAGGGTAAATGCCGTTCTTCTATATGATACCGCGAGATGGTTGCTGACACATGCTTTCTAGGCTGATGGGAGACTGCTTACAATGACTCTTAAATCGACGAAGGCTGCAACTCACCAAGATCCCTTCAGCGCACTTCGAGCACAAGCTGATCAGGAACGACTCCGAGCCCGCCGTGGCCCAGGCCATGTGAACGATCTGCTATCCGACGACCAGGGAAACTCGCCGACTGGCCTCTACAGCGATGAAATGATGGTCGATGCGCCGGCGCGCAATACCCAGAAGAACCAGAATCAACGGAAATGGCGCCGTTGAATATCCGAGTTTGGGCATGACAACTTGAGGTTGGATAGCGTTGTTGGCGTAAGGAGTACATAGTATGCACTGCGCGAAATAGTCGTGGAGATCATGCTTCTTGCACTCTCATGAAATGTATGATATGGTCACAGCAGTTTATGGACATTTTTTAGCATTCGGAGCACACTTTTTGCAGCAGATAGCGGCGAACCGGACAAATCGGACAAAATATTAATGTTTTGGGCTTTTCTTCGGCATGCAGGTCAATCAGTATCCATGCTACGGTATTACCTGTCTGTCCTCGTTACTTGGTTCTTTACACCTGCATCGAAAGAAAAGGAGAAACTATACATACACGTAGGTACCAACACAAACCTACGGCATTTAACCCTCGCAATAACATCGGAAACTGTAAATATTTTGTAACAAATCCTCAAACCATTGCTTGTTCTAATCAAATTCAAAAAGAAACTCTAAGTATAAGAGATATGCACCAAGTCACCTCACGCCTCCAAGGGGCACAAGGACTTGACGCAACGGAAGCACAACATATACCAAAGCAAAATCACAAATATAACCAAATAAGATCAGAATATGTAGCCTGTAATGGGTCCCTAGCTGCCCATACATCGTCAAACTTCCCCGAGAAGAATGGGTCCATCAAATCGTAGAAGAAGTGGGTGGTGGTATTGCGAATGCAGGATTGCAAAGGGGTACAGTTGCCAAAATCTCGGTGAGGTCGGTTCCCACGTACATAGCGTTGGTGTTATCAGGCATACTCAAACAATATAGCATATGGTGAAGCCAGATACCAGACAGTCGTGAACCCGACGGAGGGGTATTGGGTGGGTCACGACTTATACAGGCTCGAACGTCGATCCACCGGGGGAGCATGGGTTGATCATTATGCAAGATGTTGACTTGCAATACCACATTATCCACGGTGACATCACCAGATGCTGTGACCATCATTGTTGAAGCAGAGACAGGCAGTGGCGCGCCACTCAGTGCTTCAAGTTGATCTCTATCGCTTTGGAAAATCTTCATTGCTATAGCACCAGTATCCTCTAGAACACTGAGCGCCATGGTATGTTGCACTGTGTTTGTTCTCCAAGTGTTAGGATTCCGGATTGATACTGTAATCTGTTTCGTGTTAGCGTTCTTTCGTAAATTTTCACCTGGAAAGTCATACATTGTGCGAGGCGTAGAGCGGAAAGTTCGGAAGCAGACTGAAGAACAGGTACATCGGTTCCGGTTTGTAGTGGTCCATCTATAAGTCAATGTCAGAGATGTATGTACACAGGGTGGGTATGTCTATGTCTTCATGCTGGACTAACTTGATAAAACAAGGAGTCTACGTATGAATGGGGGATAAAGCTCTTAGATCTTTCTTGTATTCAACTCACTCCTTCTACCCAAATACCATGTGGGCCAAGCTCCTGACTCAGAGTGAGAAATTCCTCCATGTCCATTTTCTTCGGGCCGGCAACCATTTTCCCATGTACCCAGTATGTGACTTTGTTTTCATCCCAGACAAGTCTCCGGGAACGGTACGCATCCATGATGGCTAGCACATTGGAGGTATTCCCATTGTCCTGACCCAACTCATCGAAGCTCTGTTTGACCTTCTTCAGAGAATCAAGGCGTTGAACGACTTCCCAGCTAAGACCGCTAGGCTCAGAATTGATCATGTCTCTAGAAAAGAGCGGGTTTAGTTATTGTTGTGAGAAAGGCACAGTATAGAATGTAGGCTCTCCTTACGTCTGTTTCTGCTTGATCTGCTGGTACATTCGCAATTTTTGTTCGAAAATGGCAGGCATGATATTCTCATCGATGCGTCTGTGACATCTTGCAATTTGGCCGTCGACATCACTACCACGAAAATATTAACGACGAGTCGATAGACAGAAGAACATAGCATGGGTCTTACTCCTCAGCGAGATCGGTCTCGTTTCCAGACCATCCGTCGGGCAGCTTGGTAGGATCGGTTATAGGTTCGTCACGGTGTCCCCATACTTTCGGTGGCTCGAAAAATTGGCCACTTAATGAAATGGGACCAGAAAGACGTAGCTCTTCCCCACGCTGGAGGAGGTCGTTTGCAAGTGCAACATGAGGCAGACTTGGATCTTGCTTCTTTTGAAAGGGACATTATGTGAGTAATCTTCATGATACAAGAGGTAAGGGGATACAATACCTTCTTCCCTTTCTTCGCAGCGGGCTTGCGGGCATGACTGCCGCCAGAGATAGTTCCCTTCGAACTCCTGCGTCGCTTCTCCTCTGGAAGACCGGGTAAAAGCTTCTCATCGGCTCCTCTTTTCCGGCGAGTGGTAGGCATTTCGAATCAATGCCACGTTGGATTATTGGGGAAGAGGGGACTGGAAAGAGTTGCGGGTTGATCCTAAATAATAAGGCAAGAGATGAGGAAGTAAGAAGACTTGAATTTCGAAGATCAAACGACTTTTATAAACTTGGGATATCAACTTTCGTCTGCTGTCAAACAAAGAAGGCTGCGAAGAAAGAAAAACTCGGTACCCACTGACTCCAGACATCAGCGCCAAACAAACTTGAGGACTCAACACGATGGCGAAGCTCATTGACATACGAGAAAGAGCGGCAAGACAAATAAACGCTCTCAATCAAGGCTAGCAGGGGTATAACATGAAGCATGCAAGAAAGTGCCAAGCTCTTCAAGGACAAAGAAAAGGCTGCGCTATACATAGTAGCCAAAGACTTTCTCAAGAAGTACTCCGTAGTGAGAGCAGCGCATAAGAGTAAAACAAAGGAAGATAAAAAAAAAAATGCAACAACAACAATCAAATTTCTTCCTCGGCGTCCTCCTCTTTCTCTTCATCAAATTCCAAATACGAAACACCAGAAGACTCTTTGGAATGGGTTTGGACTGATGTGTTCTCCGATTGAATTGGTGACATGACGGCGGCAGCACGGAAAATGTGAACAAGCAGACCGAGTACCTGCCGGTAATTGTTGAGGCGCGCAGAAACAATGTATTCACACCACTATTCAAACGTTAGACACGTATGATTTAGCGATAGAATGTACTTACCTGAGAGTCATTATTAATTTTCAGGAAAACAAAGTATTGGCCATCGGACACAACACCATACACAGTCGAATCCATCTTGCCGAGTTCTTTTCGTTTCCTGTGCACGCAACCTTTGCTCCAGTTAGATTATGTATCCCAGAATATAAAACAAGGATAGTTGGAGCACTTACCCATGTATCCCAGAGTTTGGGACACTCCACTCGTGGCTGTTGCCCCGGACTTTGCTTCTACCACCACAACGCTAACCGCAACATCTTCTTTTGGCCCATACCACAGGCTGTAATCAGGCCGGCCAATCAAATCATACTTCATTTTATCATGTACGACTGGGCCATACCTCCAGTTGGCCTCCGCGTTGAGATGCACGGTATTGCTCGTGTCGTCGGAATGGGAAGTGATGTGGTGATGCGAGCATACGAGAAGATTGTTGAGGGTGATTCTTGTCAATGCTTCATTGGATTCACTGTTTCCAAAGGTATTTCGTGTAATCCTCATCCATTCCGCTTGTTAAAGTCAGTCAGATGTCACATTGGCAATGTTCCTTTGGGTATACGTACTGCAAATGGGAGATGGATCAACTGGAGGCTGATTTTGGAACTCAATATTGTTGAAAGAGAAGCTCAGGTTGAGCATTGATTGCACTTGATCAATTTTCAACGAAGAAATTGCCAGTGTGGGTAACTCGTATTCTCCTCCTTGTATCATCGTGGTCAGGTTTGCAAGCGAAGCTTTCAATTGGGCGAAGGAAAGCTTTTGAGTTTGGATGTCTAGGATAGCGTTCACAAGCTTCCTCTTGGTGATCTTTTTCTTGATGACCTTGTTGGGAGGCATCTTGATGCAATGGCAAGAGAACAAAGATGTGAACAGGGGAGGTGGGAGAGAGATCAGCGTGGAGGAATCAAAGCTTCAAGCTAGGACAGTAAACACAGAGTCAAGTTCGAAAAATTTGAGGTTTGATAGAAACTGGGAAGAAAATGGGATTATAGGGGGATGGAAGTGAGACGGATGTAAGAGTTCAAGAAGAGAAAGCCTGGGGTCAACAATATATATGCCCTGAAGCTGATACCCGTTTCCTAAACAGGCTTAGTATGTAGCAAACGACTTCTATTGTTCCAAGAGGTCCTATCAATTGATCCATGGAACTGAAGCTGATGCCCATTTCCTAAATAGGCTTAGTAGCAAACGACTTCTTTGTTCCTACATATGCACATATCAATGTTCAAGGTTTGTTCCTATATAATCCATGGTACTGGAGCTGACACCCATTTCCTAAATAGGCTTAGTAGCAAACAATTTATTTGTTCCATCAATGGTTCTATTGTACCTGACAAAAAGAAAAAGGAGTCACCTTGGAAGGTCATAAACCGCGGCAACATGAACATGGCTGGAGTAGAAGGGATGAAGAGGGCAGTGGCAATGGCGGTCCTCATGTATTAGGTACAAGAATAGTCGGCCGCGTTTGCGGCCTTGTGATATCTTTTCAGTTAATCTTTTTGGTTGTCTTTTTGAACATCTTTTTAAATGTCTTTGTTTTGTATATATTTTGCTGCTCATCTCAGTTGTATAGATAGACGGTCGAAAAAGGCGGAGAAAGGCTTAATTTGCGAAATGGACTTTTCTATGTATAACTTTGGATTGCCAAGCCATACCATCTTGGGACTAGCGGCCGATAACAGTCCGATAAGGATATGATCACGTGCTTCGGAGCTTCCGCGGAGAGATTGAGAGAAACATCTCGACTTGGCGCAACGCAATAGAACGAGTGTCTGGGGCCCAGACGTTTATTTACCTGCTGCAAAGGGGCTCTTTATTTCATTTCATGACAAGACAAACAATCACCGTCACTCAGCCCCGAGCCAAGAATGAACCAAGCGACGAGGCGCGTAGCGTCGCATATCCTCCGCAGACCTCGCAACACAGTACTTCCAAGATGCCCAGGAAGATGGAACTCCACATTTGAGCAGAGGGAATGGTCTACGCCGCTAGCGAAAACATTGGCTAATGTCATGAAGGTACATATGCACTTCGCCTTGCCTCTTACCGCACTTTTGCTGATCATTCACTGCTGGAAATTAGGTCACTGGTCCTGTCCCAATCGCGGCGTTCATGCGCCAGGTTTTGACCTCCCCAGATGGCGGATATTATACAACTCGAGGGGAGAACGGAGGTGTCTTCGGTAAAAATGGTGATTTCGTCACATCGCCCGAGATCTCGCAAGTCTTTGGAGAATTGATCGGTATATGGACCATCGCGGAGTGGATGGCGCAGGGACGGACGAGAAGTGGCGTCCAGCTGATGGAGGTTGGCCCAGGAAAAGGAACTTTGATGGATGATATGCTTCGGGTGAGTTGTTGCATATATGCCTGTTTTCGTCATAAAACGATACAAGAAGACAATTGGACTGACCACCATTTCTATAACCAACAGACTTTCCGTAACTTCAAGAGCTTTTCTTCGAGTGTTGAAGCTATTTATCTTGTGGAGGCTAGTGGAACCCTCAGAGAAGTGCAGAAGCGGCTGCTGTGCGGCGAGGAGGCCGTTATGGAAGACACAGATATCGGACACCGGAGTGTGTGCAAATACTTTGATGTACCTGTCATCTGGGTGGAGGATATTCGTCTTCTCCCACACGGTGAGTAATGATATGAAATCAGTTGCCCCCTTGTCTGATGCTGACCAACGACATCGGCGATACAGAGGAAGGCAAGACACCCTTCATCTTCGCGCATGAATTCTTCGATGCGCTTCCAATTCATGCATTCGAATCTGTCCCGCCATCACCAGAGAACCAGCAGACCGACGAGCCTCGAAAGATCATGACTCCCACCGGCCCAGTAGAACTACACAATCCGCCCAAACACGCGAACACCCCGCAATGGCGTGAGTTAATGGTGACATTAAATCCAAAAGCCATCGAAGAGAACATAAAAGGAGAGCCCGAGTTCCAATTGACCAAAGCCAAAGCCTCCACTCCGTCATCGCTAGTGATCCCGGAGATCTCTCAGCGTTACCGAGCACTCAAGTCGCGGCCAGGCTCGACCATCGAGATCAGCCCCGAGAGCCGAATCTATGCTGCGGACTTTGCCCGCCGTATCGGTGGTGACTCTGCTTCTGCGCTTGCTGCTAAAAAGACATCTGCTTCTGGCCCGCCACCGTCATCACAGAAGAAGACACCGTCTGGCGCAGCCCTGATCATGGACTACGGGACCTTGTCAACCATTCCCATTAACTCGCTGCGCGGAATCAAAAGCCATGAGAAGGTAGCACCACTCTCGGAACCGGGCCGAGTGGATGTCAGTGCGGATGTGGATTTCACTTCGCTGGCTGAAGCAGCCATCGAAGGCAGCGATGGCGTCGAGGTCCACGGTCCTGTTGAGCAGGGTGACTTCCTCGGGGCTATGGGTATTGAGGAGCGCATGCGTCAGCTGCTCCGTAAGGAGCAAGATGAAGAGCACAAAAAGACACTAGAGACCGCCTGGAAGCGATTGGTTGAGAAGAGCGGCGGATCTATGGGACAGATCTACAAGGTCATGGCCATTATACCTGAAAATGGAGGACAGAGACGGCCTGTTGGTTTTGGAGGCGGCATTCAGATGTAGAACGGCAAGTATCTTCATCTTGTGTTTCAATAGACTCTGAGCGTAGACTGCTCATTCATGTACAATAATTTCGTATTCCATTAAATAGAATAACATGGACTCCCAACATACAGAAACAATCAAACAGGACTCCTCGGCCCCAATCTCCCACAATAATAATAAAATGAAAATGAAAACCATAAATGCATCTAAGTGGTATCTCTCCTATCAAGTTCGTTAAATCTCATGAAAAAAGGCAGATGCATAAAGTGACCGCAACCCCCATCATCTCAAGGCTCAGTTCAATATTCCTCCCAGATATCCGCAGCATAAGCCTCGGTCAGTTTAGTATCATTTCCATACTTCTGCTGCCATTCCACAAACCCACCCTCGAGCACAAATACTTGCTGCTTCTGATTCTCCTCCGCACCAAGTGTGCTCTCACGCTCGCGTGCATAGCGAAGGGCGGCAGAGGGACCACGTTGCTGACTGAGTGCACAATGGAATACAACCATTTTCTTGTCTTTGAGAGTACGAATAAGCTCAGGCATGCGCACGTCCAGCGTTGAGCTAGGGACCCAAGTTGATGAGTGGATATGGCCACCAACGTGGTCTGTTTCAACTGTCAGCTGATATTGTTTGATTATATGGAAAAAGAAAAATCATTTACCAGAGTCTCGGACGTCAACAATGGCTAGGTTGCTGTGTTCGCCGGTTGAGAGCAGGGCCGCTAGAACATCGCGGCCCATGCGGGGGAGAGTTGCGATTGAGATAGACGACATTCTTTTTTTGCGCAATTTTGTAACTGTTTTATATCAAAAGAGCGATTGGGAGTGAAATGAAAGAGATATTTGAAAGCTCACAATATTTGCAGATATGATATTTACAATCTCTAGAAAATGTCCCCAAACCACATGGCACGTGACCTACAATTTCCTTTCCAATCGGGAGACGATGATTTTCCGCCACGGCAACTTTGAGCACCTCCGACCCTACGCGCCCACCTCGATCAATTCTTCATTCTCAAGCTCAGGAGACAGTTCAATTCATACCCCATATACCTGCTGCTCTGACACGAGCGAGTCCAATCAAAATGGACTTCCGCCTCCTGGCCCGCAGCCTCCGCGCCAGGCCAACACCATGGCTCCAACAGCAGACCCAGCTACACCGTGTCGCCTCCCTCGCGAACGGAGTGCGTTACAATTCCTCCAACTCATCACCAAACACACCCTTCAAACCCACATCTCCCACCGACCAGCCCATCACAGCCCCCGAGGCCGCTCAGCAAGCCCAAGCCCAAAAGCCGGCGTCCGACGTCAACGAGCAACGCACAGCCGCCCCCGAGGCTGCAAAGCCCGCCCGCAAGCCGGTCTCCGATTTCGACGACATCCTCAGCAGACTCGACCTCACTAAGCCCCGAGAAGCAACCAGCAGCCACCGCCGGGTCTTCTCAGACTCGCTTTCCCGGGCTGTCGGCGAAGGCGCACAGAGCGGCTACCGGGGACGGTCGAGGGCGCCCCTGCCTGCACGCAAGGTCGAGCTGAAGCTCGGACCGACGCTTGGTCGTCAGGCTCATGTTGAGCCTGAGCGTGGTACTGATCTCGGTGGTGCGCTGCGCAAGCTTCAGGCTACTCTTTCGCAGAATCGTGTGAGGCAGGATGCAAACGAACAGAAGTTCCATGTCAGGAAGGGTATGGTGCGCAAGCAGAAGAAGATGGCGCGGTGGAAGAAGCTGTTCAAGTTCTCCTTCCAGGGGACTGTGAAGAAGATTCAGCGTATGCAGGCGCAGGGTTGGTAGTTTTGTGCTGATCCTCTGCTTTGGGCTTTTTTGCTGCGGCTTGTCTACTCGGCTTGTATGTATATACTGAAGAGGCTGGTGTGGGTGATGGACTGAGTGGGCACAGTGGCATCGGTCTGAAAATTGGTTTTCTTTTGTTACTTGTACAACTATTATCTAGGTACTTCATTTTTGTGTTGAATTTGGCTCTTGCATTAGATATGGAATGCATCGGATTTGTTTGACTCGGTCACTTGGGATATAACATCATGATATGTAGAGCACCAGCTTTTTTGCTAGTGATCAAATTTGCTTCCCTCAAGTTAGGTACACTGTACAGGTCATAAGCGGCCATTCTATATGTACCCAGGCTATACACTCATTCCTCTCGGTTCTGCATATCAATCCCTCTTCCCACTCGGGAACCCATATCCACTTCCAACCCCGTTTCCATTGCCATTGCCATTAGCAGGGCCAGAATAACCACCGTATCCATTATTCTTTCCCCCGTTGCCAAAGGTAACGCCCGGACCCTTCGCTCCACGCGCGGGACTCCCACCCAAAAGCCCATCTCCGTGCCAAGGGGTTCGCCCACGACCACGCAGGCCATTGCGCTCCCAGAATAATGCAACCAAAGCACCAACTGAAGCCGCCATAACAAAGAACACCAGCTTAGAAAAGAAAGACCCAGATTTCTTCTTAGACCCAGTCGCCAGCGCCAGCCACGAGTCCAAAGGAGGCCGCACCGGCCACCCAATACTGGCACCGCCCTCCAACCACGCAACGTGGAAAGAGAAGGTAAGCGGCTCGCCACGCACGACCTTGGTGCCATGTCCAGCAGTCCAAGGCTCACGCGCCGCCTGGGAAAGAGCAACTGGCTCCTCGTCCTCATCGAGCTTAGGGTTTTTACCGGTATTATCGAACTCGGGGGTCGAGTATGCGATACCGCCAACTGTGAAACCAGGCTGTCCAGACTGGCCGCCGCGGGTCTTGGAGCTTTGTTCTGCAGCCGCGTCCGAGGCCATGTTGTGCATGACGACGTTCATATCCGTCCAGATGTGCAAATGGCTCAGCTGAAGCGTACCCTGCAGCGCAATTGTGAGCGGCGTGAAGGGCGGCCCGTTGTCGGCTAGTGCAGAGAGGGTGTCTGCTTCTCCTGACATCTGGTCTGAGTCTTTGTCCGCGTGCTCTGCTGCGCCGGCGGATGGTGTTAGTGGCGCTGTTGGCACGCGGCAGGTCATTGGGACATCTGAGTGGACGTAGAACTCGAGCAGATGGTACAGCTCATCGGAAAGGGAGTCGATGGTGCATGTTATTGTTTCAGAGATGCCGTAGTGGAGGGAGAGGGGGCGGGCGGTTTCGTTGCAGGTCACGAAGGGGACGTATTGGAGTTTTCCGAGATTGTCAGTGACCTGAAGGTTTTCGCGACATTAGCTATGTGAATCTCTGTGGTCTGCGCTATTGTCTCCGTGTCAGGAGACGGTAGACAGGTTGGTGGCGCTTACATGTTCTCCTTCCCTGGTGTAGAACAAACAATGGTTAGCCACGCTCTAGAGATTGGTTGAAGAGTAGTCTCACATGGTCCGATTCAGACATGATACTGGGATATCCTCTCTCAGTTTGTATCCCTCGTTGTTGTCATTGATGTTCCCCGCAAGTGCGCTGGTTGGCCACAATGCGCCTGTCAAAGACAGCAGCGCCACTGCTGTAGAAGACGGGCTCAATTGGCGTATATGAGACATTGTCATTTTTATTCCAATAATTGTAAGAGGGTAGCCGCCCCGCGTCGGCAAGTTTCCAGAGTTCGAGGATGGCACAGGAGTCAAGGACGGAGTTCTACCGCGTTGCGGAGTTGCGGACAACAAAGCGGGTTTCCCCTTGCTGCTACTTCCAACCACCTCCGTACTTTGAATTGCATCATGTCTAACCCCAACCCTTTCTATTCTATAAGGTGACTCGCAGTCTATACGAAAAATTAATTGATAACGAAAATATTGAGAATCATTCATTTCTTTTCAAACCAAGAGAAATATGTGGAAAATCGTTGCTCGTCAAAACTACACATCCCACAGTGCTTCATATAAGACTAAAACACTCTAAGACAAATTGGCCTTCTGCTTGAAAGCAAGCAACAGACCACTGGTCGAGCTGTCGTGGTCAGCACCGGCTCCCTCGGTCTCCAGCTCGCTCTGGATGTTCTTAGCAAGGGCCTTGCCCAACTCGACACCCCACTGGTCGAACGAGTTGATGTTCCAGATGGCACCCTCGGTGAAGGTGACGTGCTCGTAGTAGGTGATCAGAGCACCCAGGGTGGAGGGGGTGATCTTCTGGGCCAAAATAGAGGTGGTGGGACGGTTACCCAAGAAAGTCTTGTGGGCAACAAGCTCCTCGGCAGCGCCCTCGGCCTTGACCTGAGCAGGGGTCTTTCCGACCATCAGAGCCTCGGACTGAGCGAGGAAGTTAGCAGCCAGCATGCGCTGGTGCTTGCCACCCTCGACGGGGTTGTGCGACTCAGCAGCCATCAAGAAATCGGCAGGGATGAGCTTGGTGCCTTGGTGCAGAAGCTGGAAGAAGCTGTGCTGCGCGTTGGTGGCAGGCTCACCGAACAGGATGGGTCCGGTGGTGTACTTGACGTATTCACCGGTGCGGGTGATGGCCTTTCCGTTGCTCTCCATGGACAGCTGCTGAAGGTAGGCGGGGAAGCGGTGCAGGTACTGGTCGAAGGGAGCAACCAGATGGGTTTGAGCACCGAAGAAGTCGCTGTACCAGACGCTCAGCAGACCACCAAGAGCGGGGATGTTCTTCTCGAGGGGTGTTTCCCGGAAGTGCTTGTCCATGGCCTGAGCACCAGCCAGGAACTGGTGGAAGTTGTCGTAACCAATGTACAGAGCGACGGACAGACCAATAGCACTCCAAACGGAGTAACGTCCACCCACCCAGGACTCGAATCCGAACATGTTCTTGGCATCAATGCCGAACTTGGTGACCTCGGACTCGTTGGTCGACAGGGCTACGAAGTGCTTGGCAATGTGTGAATCTTCCTTAGCAGACTTGAGGAACCAAGACTTGGCTGTGTTGGCGTTGGTAGTGGTCTCTGCGGTAGTGAAGGTCTTAGAGGCAATCAGGAAAAGGGTGGTCTCCGGGTCGGAGTTCTTAAGAGCTTCAGAAATGTGGGTGCCGTCGATGTTGGAGACGAAGTGGAGCTTAATGTCGGGGTGGCCGTAAGGCTTGAGAGCCTCGGTGACCATTACAGGGCCGCTAGGTACAGATGTCAGCTACAATTCCTGCTCAACCAAGGACAGGAATGCTTACAGATCGGAACCACCGATACCAATGTTAACGATGGTGTTGATCTTCTTGCCGGTGTAACCCTTCCACTCTCCGCTGCGGACCTGCTCGGAGAACTCCTTCATGTGCTCCAGGACGGAGTGGACATCCTCAACCACGCTCTTACCATCGACCTCCATGGGCTCCTTGGCAACATTGCGCAGAGCAGCGTGGTAGACAGCACGGTCCTCGGTGAAGTTGATGTGCTCGCCACGGAACATGGCATCACGGAGCTCCTCAACGTTGGCCTCCTTGGCGAGCTTGACCAGAAGAGAGACGGTCTCCTGGGTGAGGAAGTTCTTGGAGAAATCGAAGAGGACCTCCGTGTTGTCCACGGTGTTGGCGAACTTGTGGCTGAAGTTCTCAAAACGCTTAGGGTCCTTCTGGAATTGATCCTTGAGAACTAGGTTGCGTCCCAAGGTGGTGTGGTGCTCCTGGAGCTCCTTCCAGGCAGGAAGGTCGCTGGTTTGTGAAAAGCCGGGCATGATGACGATGAGGGGTTCTATGGGCAGAGGGTCAGCGTGGGGCAAGCGGAAAACAAAGGCAATGTTGAGGGAAGTCAGGTTCAGGATGTAGAGGAAGCTTGTCAACGTACATGAAAGATAGATGGGGTGATAGAGAAAGAGTGAAGAAACAAAAAAGAAGTAAGAAAACTAATGGCGTCAGTTGCTCCCGGCGCATTGGGGTCCGAGGGGGGACGTGGGGCAACATCATCATTGCCGCATTCGGCCGTTATTTCACTAATTTTGTCTTTTTTGCCTTTTTTGTTTAATTTGCCTATTTTGCCTATTTTACTTGTTTTGTTTTTTCTACTTGTCTCACTGCTATCATTGTTTTGATTGGAGCCTTTCTATTATTATTTCTCCTTTGGTTCTCCGAAGGTGCCGAAATGTGTATACCCGGTATACACATTCGGCCATTTATAATCTCGTCCTCCGTAGGCTATTGCTTTTACTCTTCTAGGCCCAACTCAATTCAATTCCAGAACGCTCTCTTGTGTAGCAGGCCGTTCGAAATTGAACGGCTATAGCTTTTTCAGTTGTAATAGTCCTATTCTTAAGAGTCCCAACGCGTTAAACCTCCTGCCGAGATGCAGGCCACTACTGCAAGTCTACATGCATTGCAACTCTCCGAGGTCCAGATATATAGGGATTCCTAATGTTCTTTGAATTATTTGAAGAGTAGCGACATTGGATTCAATGGCAGTACCGAGCCCCGAGGAGATGTCCACGAGGTGTAAAGCATTTGCAGGTCCAACCCCGTGGACGGCTAAACACGTGCCACCTTTCTAGGTGTTCTGGACAATTCACCGCATATCTCACCGCCCGTGCTTTTTTGTTGGCAACTGATATTCGTTTGAATTGAGTCTTGATCAACCTCACTTCCTCACAAGTGGTACAACTTGCATAATGTACAATCCTTACCAAGGTGAGCACTGCCGTTCCCTTGATCTTTGAGAAAGCATTGATTATTTGAAGAAACTAACTCTTACATAGCTCCGGGTCTTTATGGACAGGCTCCTGACTATGGCGCCTATGGTGCGCCTCCGGGCATGGGTAAGTTCGCTCCTCTCCTATGGTAGTTTCATTTTCAATTTAGGCTGACTAGCTCAAGCACCTCCTCCAGGGATGGCTGCTCCAGGTACTGCTGCTCCTCCCGGCATGCAGCAAGCAAATGCCCAGCCTGGTCGTCCAGGAAGCTTCCCGCCCAGCTTCCAACCACCTGCGAATATGCCAAACATCAATTTTTCTGCGCCAGTGATTCGCTTGGGTACCTCGGGCCCCGCCAAACCTGCAGCTCAAGACAGCGGTCGGGAACGGGGATCCGATGCTCCTGGGCGCCGCGGTGGTCTGGGGTCAATGGGAATGGATACCCAGCGCCATCATGGTCGCGATCCCATCATGCAACTCCAGCCTCCTACACGCGACGAGATCGTGCGCACACTTTTTATCGGCGGTATTACAGAGGGCGCTGGTGGTGATGATGGCATTCAACGTATTCTACGATCTACTGGTATCTTGCGTCGTTGGATTCGCGCGACAGATGCTGATGAGAAACCTTGCCGCTTTGGCTTTGCCGAGTACGATGACCCGGAGAGTCTTGAGATCGCCGTTGAGACCTTGAAGAACGTCGAAGTGCCAGTCAAGAGACAGACACCCCGCGCTGAAGGTGAGGAGGAAAAAGAGGTTGAAAAAAGCATGCTTCTGGTACGTATAAATTACCTACCCTAGTCTCGGATCTGACTACTAACTTATCTGATAGGTTGTCGTCGATGAAGGCACCCTCACCTACCTAGAGCAATTCGAGTCTAGCCGAGCCGAGCAAGACCCCGAGGAACGCCAGGCACGTTTCACCGCTGCCCGCAAAAATCTGGATAATGTCTTGTCGAGCCTCTTCCACCCCGCAGCTCCCCTTCCAAAGGAGGAGGTTTCGGCCCTTGATCGGGAAGGCGACAGCGAAATGAAGGATGCTGAGCTTGCGAAGGATGGTGAAGTGGTCACTATTCCAATTACAATTGAGGATGAGCTAGCCGATATCCCCCCGGAGATGCGCGCCAATGTGGCCAAGGAGATCTCGGCTTTCCGTGAACGAAGCACCCGCCGCGACATCGAGCGGATGAAGCGCGAGGAAGAAATTGAGTCGATGGAGCGTGCACGCAATTCTGGCCGGATCAATCGACTTGCTTCGCCTCCGGCATCCGCTCCCAGTGGCCCTGCTGCTGGTATCAACGGTATTCCATTGGGCCCCCGGGATCGCAATGTGTTGAACGCACCTTCTGGTCCGAAGGCATTTGGTGTGCAGATTCCCAAGGATTATCAGAAGGGAGTTGCTTTTGTCAATGGTGGATCCCTCAACGGAGTCTCTATTGATCGCGAAGGCGAGGATTCCGATGCTAGCGACGAGGAAATTGAACGCCGTCGACAGGATCGGCTTAAGGCTGAGCAAGAGAAGCAATTCGCAGACCAAGAGCGCCGCTGGCTCAGCCGTGAGCGCAGCCGAACTGCTGCCCTGGAGCGAGAGAAGAAGCGCGAGGATGAGGAAGATGGAAAGTTGCAAGCTGCGCACGATGAGATGGAAGCACGACTTGGCGCTTGGAATGACGATGTCGAGGACAGCCGGAAGGCGGTCGATTACTACGCAGACCGCGGTGCTTGGCTCCGGAACCGTGCAAGCTTCCGTGCTCGTGAGGCCAACATTGACGATGCCGATCGCGCCGCTGAGGATCGCGAACGTGTGCAATCCGCCAAGCAGCAAGAGCAGGCTCGTGGTATGGCCGACGACTTCCTCGCTCGGCAGGCAAAGGAGCTCGAGACACGTCCCCAGGAGGCACCCCGCGAACCCCAACGCTTCAAGCTATCCCTTGGGGCTGCCGCACAGAAGGCTCAGGCCGCAACCAGCCGCCGCGCAATGGCCGATGTGGAAGGTCTGTTGGAGGACGAGGAAGAACCCGTTACTGCAACCCGTCGGCAACTTATTCCGATCAAATTCGATTCCGCTGCCGAAGCTGCAGGTCTCACCGACGAGGAACGTACTCAGGCTGCCCGTCAACTCGCAGCAGAGATTCCGGCCGAGAAGGAAGGCTTGTGGAACTGGGCGGTCAAGTGGGAATTTGTCGACGATGCTGTCATCACCGACCAGCTCAAGCCTTTCGTCGAGAAGAAGATCGTCGAATATCTTGGTGTACAGGAGCAAATGCTGGTGGATGTGGTGGAGGAACATGTGCGGAAGCATGGATCGCCTCAGGAGTTGGTGGAGCAGCTGGTAGAAGTGAGTTTTTATCCCTTTTTCTTCCTTGTGAGAAATGTTACTAACCGTGATCCTCTATCTATAGGCATTGGACGAAGAGGCCGAAGTCCTTGTTCGCAAGCTTTGGCGGATGATCATTTTCTGTTCCGAGAGCGAGAAACGAGGCCTGTCTTCGTGATAGGGCTGCATATCCAACACCTGGCCTTGTGCCTGATGTCTCTAGGCTTCATTGAAATACAACATCATGTACACAAAGGAATAGTTGCTTGTATGATTTCAATTTTTCTAAAATCGCATACCCTCGGGGAATTTTCCCACAGGATCTGGTCTAGTCTGCATGTAGATGCAACCTCCCACGTAACTTGGGGTAAAGCACGGAGCAGCTCCGAGTATAGTACCTGGGCTGTGATTGGTGGAATTACGTATTTTCCCGGCATTTGCAATTCTCCGCCAATGAGGACGCATCTGCGGCAAATGACAGAGGATGAGGGAGGGGCGCGGGATTAAACTGGGGATGGCGCGGGGGAATAGATTTGCTGTATATACGGCGTGGAATCTCTTTCGGTTTTTGAAATCTTTTCTCATTGATATCCCTCATCTCCTACTCTTCTCTGTGTCTTTGAGCTGCCAAAAAAGAGTGAAATCGACTCTCAACTCTATACCCCGGATATATACACCCCGCATTTCTAGATTAACCAACGTGTTTCTCTAGAACTGACTTGCGCCAGCAATATTGCTAGCAATTTAGAAGAAACTTACCTCTACCATCACAAATAACAACCATTCACAATGGTCAAAATCACTGGCTTCACCACACGGGACGTGCGGTTCCCGGTACGTCAATCTTACCCCCGGAGCATTTCCATACCCAATGCACAATACTGACAAGCCCACCATAGACGTCGCTTGACAAGACCGGTTCAGATGCTATGAACGCTGCAGGTGACTACTCCTCCGCCTACTGCATCATCACCACCGACTCAGAACACTCCGGACATGGCATGGTACGTCACACCACATCACCAATTTACAAGACTCCAATTAACCCAATCCCCTACAGACCTTCACAATCGGCCGCGGCAATGAAATTGTCTGTGCAGCGATCTCCCTGCTCGCCCCAATGGTAGTTGGTAAGGATTTGGATGAGATGACCGCAGACTGGGGCAAGACCTGGCGCTACCTCGTGTCCGACAGCCAGCTGCGCTGGATCGGCCCCGAAAAGGGTGTGATCCACCTCGCCCTCGGCGCTGTCGTCAATGCTCTCTGGGATCTGTGGGCCAAGACCCTCGGCAAGCCCGTCTGGCGCATCGTTGCGGACATGACCCCCGAGGAATTCGTGCGTTGCATTGACTTCCGTTACATTACCGATGCCATCACGCCTGAAGAGGCTATCAGTCTTCTGAAGGAGGTTGAGTCTGGCAAGCAGGAACGTATTAAGGAAGCCGAGGCTAGCAAGGCTGTCCCTGCTTATACTACCAGTGCTGGGTGGTTGGGTTACAGCAAGGAAAAGCTCAAGTCGCTGTTGGAGCAGAGTGTTGAGCAGGGATATAGGCATTTCAAGCTTAAGGTTGGAGGAGATTTGGAAGATGACAAGACTCGCTTGCGTATTGCACGTGAGGCTATTGGGTATGACAAGGGTAACATTTTGATGGTTGATGCCAACCAGGTACGTTATCTCTCCTGAGACTGATTCCGTTGCACTTCCGAGTCAAACTAACACTTTGGAAATGAATAGGTCTGGTCCGTCCCCGAGGCAATTACCTGGATGCAAGAACTCGCAGAATTCAAGCCCTGGTTCATCGAAGAGCCCACCTCCCCCGATGACATTCTCGGCCACGCCGCCATCCGCAAGGCCCTGGCCGACACACCCTACGGACCCGTGGGCGTTGCCACAGGCGAGATGTGCCAGAACCGCGTTATCTTCAAGCAGCTCCTGCAAGCTGGTGCCTTGACTGTCCTGCAGCCCGACGCCTGCCGCGTCGGTGGTGTGAACGAGGTTTTGGCTATTCTCCTGCTGGCACGCAAGTTCGGCGTGCCTATCGTGCCGCACTCGGGCGGTGTTGGTCTGCCAGAGTACACACAGCACCTGAGCACGATCGACTATGTTGTTGTTACCGGCAAGAAGAGTGTCCTCGAGTATGTGGATCACCTCCACGAGCACTTCGTTCACCCATCCAGTGTCAAGGATGGTTACTATGCTACCCCCTTGGAGCCTGGGTACAGTGTTGAGATGAAGGCTGAGAGTATGGATGCTTTCGAGTACCCTGGTCAGGAGGGGAAGAGTTGGTGGAGATCCGAGGAGGCGAAGAGCATTATTGATGGGCCCAGAGTTGTATAGATTTGATAATAGACTTGAGTGTGGAGTTTATTCAGACGATTATGTATTTATGGGAGAAAGAAGGAGGGCACACGGCTTTACTTGCGGCACAATAACCTCAGCCTCAGGCCGGACCAAATCAAAGTACGCTCGCTTCCATTCACAATAAAAAGATAAAACACATATATTAAAATGGGTTTATACGAAATAATTGATATAGTGAAGTATTTGTTAAATATAGGTATTTGTAAAAGCCAGGTCCCATGTAGTATTGTTAGTTTAGATATAAAATTTTACTCTAGAAAAGTCTCTTATATCACTTTGCTTCCTCCCCCTACTATCCTCGCTTCTAGTGAACCTTTTTGCTCATAAGTGCGCTAATGAGCTTGGTTGCATGCACCTTTGGTCTCACGGCTCTTCTTATAAATAAAAGGGGCTTACTGAATAGCTTTGTAATGTAGAACTTAGGCCTCTTTAAATATAATATCATCCTTATCAATCTCTAAGGAATTTGAATACAAATAAGAGGCCAATTAGAGTCGGGACTCGGTCTGGTAGAAAGTGATGCTCTACATCCGGGATATCTAGGAATATGACCATATCATCAACTTAGCACACAAATCGGGAAAAGAACAGGTCTGTAATACCTCACAAGCCACATCAGTTTCTGAGTTAAAATGAAATTGAAATTCTAACAAGATATAATACAAAGTTCTAAATATTGAAACAGGATAACGTAACGACAAAGATACAGCTCATGGAAACCAAGATGACATCTGAGACAGCCTTCAAACAGCACCCTCAGACTTAGGGGGCCATTTGACACGCCTCTGCGCACGGACATACAAATTGTTCGGGCGGATAAGCTGGAACATTGGATCGTATTCGATAGGTCCGTCGCCCTCCCGAACGAATTTGTAGTTGTAAATCAACTTCGGGAGGAAGACCTTGATCTCCTGAAGCGCAAAGTTGAAACCGATGCACATACGCGCACCAGCACCAAATGGTACGTAGGAGGTCTTATGCCTATTCTTCACCTCAGGGGTGTCCCAACGGTCAGGGTTGAACTTGTAGGGGTTATCCCAGATATCAGGGTTGTTGTGAATGTGGTGAATAGCAGGGATGATAACTGAGTCCTTAGGAAGTTTGTAACCCCCAGGAAGAACAAGGTCGGTCTTTGCAGTACGGCCAGGCTGGAAGGATGGGTTGTGTCTGCGTTGCATTTCCTTAATATACTTGTCTTGGAAAAGTAGACGCTCAGTGAAGTCGGCAGTGATCTCGGTCTCGTCATTGAAATCATTGTCAATCAGCTCCTGGAGAAGTCTCTCCTGCATTCCAGGGTACGTGACCAGGCCGTAGATGAGCCACGAAAGCAGGGAGCTTGTTGTGGTGAAGCCAGCGGCAGTGGCAACGACAAGAGCCCAGACGAGACTTTCTTTTGGTAGTTTCTCGCCCTTGTTATCAGTGGCACGAATAGCATAGTCTATATGAGAGTATTGTTAGTTATCAATAATAATTGATCGAGGAAAATAGAGGAATATAAAGGGACATAGAGATACTAACCAACCATGTTGGATGCTTTCAATGCGGCATCTTGTAGAGGAAGATCTTCTTCACCACCTCTAGCAGCATTCTGGATAGACTCCTCAACCATACCCTCAATGCGGGCCTTAATGTCCTTCAGGCGCTTAGGATCACCAAAGGGCAGACTGCTGTACCAATCACCCTTTGAGGTGACCTTTTTATTCAAAGAGAGCATCTCGGCAATCAGATGAACCATATCGTGGACAGGTGCGTCAGCCGAAGTAAAGTGGTGGAAGTCCAACCCAAGAGTGAGTTTACCGACGGCCTGAGAACCGAGTTTCAGCATATATTGGTAGACATTCCAGGCTTCACCCTGCTCATCCAGCTCATCGAAGACTTTGCACGCATCTTCGACGGTCTTTTGCATAGTAGGTGCGTAGTGGCGAACTGCCTTAGGACCTAGTGCAGGAGGTAGGAATTTATGAGCCACTCTCCATTCAGGAGAATCGGTATCACCTAGGAAGATGCCTGCTGAGGAGTTCTTCAGGGCATGAAGGGGATGAGATTTATTGATCTCTTTGGTGAAAAAGTCGGATTCGGCGAACGCAATGGCTGCGATGTCCGGGTCATTGGTGTGGTAGGTCACGCGACCCATGCTATTTGTCTGAATAACCGAACCGAATCGCTCAAAAAGACGCTGGTGATTGCCAAGGTGATCAGGGTAGATCTCGAAGAAGTTGCCTACGATAGGCAACCCTTTGGGGCCCTCGGGGTCGCGGACAGCGTGGCCATCAATGGTGATGGCCACTAGTCCCTGAGCAGAAATGATGTCTTGAACTTCGGGGAGGTCGGCATGGTCAAACTGGAATGCAATTCCTACTTCTGTGTTAGAGAGTGCAGTTGGAAGTGGTGGCAATGCTAAATTCTGCCTGGGCTTGCTTACCATTTGGCTCGACGATAGCAAAGTGTGCAGCAATCAAGTGTTTCAGTCCGTCGAGGTCAGTGCTCGACTCGATCTCAACTTCTATTGCGGACGTGACTGGATTACCGAGGAGATAAAACGTTCGTGAAGGCATAACGGTTCAGTCTTCGTGGAATCAACTTTTAATGTGTGGCTTGTATGGGTATCACCTTGCGCGGTTTCTGTTTTATATATACACCTTTATAATGACGCGAGGAATTCCTTACAAGTTCTCTCACTGGTAAGATCCGAGTGCCGAATTTTCGGGAAGGCCGGGGAGGGTCGGTCATTGCCGGAAACTTTCCATTTGATTGGCACTTGGACTCGGTTCAATCGTTCCCTTCTCATATGAGCCGAAGCAGTTATTGGACACAGCCTTCGTTTGGCAGATACTCGGCATGCCGTTGTACCCGCCAATCGGGTTGAGCAAATTACCTCGTTTATCGGTAAGAGTTTTGATTGGTCGCCCTACGCATCATTGCTTTTTTTTTACTATGGCTCTCATCATTCTTCTCTCCGGGCCGGGATGGGATCTCTCGGCATTGAAGAGGCAAGTTATCCTCGGAGTATGGTCGATAAATTGAGCAAAGAAAACCAGATATTACTCCATATATTTATATGAGTTGGTCATCTATTTCTTTCGATTTTTTTGATTGAGTCGAACAACGGACCATCTACAGTCGTTAATTTTCCTCTCTGATCATTTTTAAATCGAAGAACCCTTTTGCCAAAGCCCCCTAAAAGAAGACCTTCCTCTCTCCCGAAAGACAAGATCATTCATCAATGGCAGCTGATAAGGTGTTCAGTGTGGACGATGTCGCCTCCCACAAAGACAGAACTGACCTATGGGTTATAATTCACGGAAAGGGTAATATGTGCCAGTCAATATGTCGATTGCAACGTTGATAACTAACGGGTGATGTTCTAGTCTACGACCTTACGAAATATGTGCGAGACCACCCTGGTGGCGCGGATGTCCTGTACGATGTCGCTGGGGTCGATGCGACGGAGGCATATGATGAAGTTGGCCATTCAGAGGATGCGGATGAGATCTTGAAGACATTTTTGATTGGCACAGTTAAGGACGCCCATGAGATCAAAGCTCCCAAGAAGGTCGTTCGCCTCATCCAGTCGACTACTCCGAAGAAGGAGAGCACTGCGGCATCGGGTTCTTCCGCTGGCGCAATTACCATGGTGATCGGCTCCATTGCTGGTGGTGCGGCGCTTTACTTTGCTTCCCCTCATAATTTCAAGCTACAAAATCTGTTGCCAAAGCTCCCTCTACCCACTGTGGCCTCGCTACAATCCACACCGACTATTGCCCTGCCGCAAGGAGGATTCTTCACCGGATTTACTGCTGCTACCTCTTTCTGTGTCACTGTTGGTGCCGTTCTTGCAGCCAAACTTTCGAATTTCACCCAAATTGAGTCTGGATTCACCAAATACCCTCCGCATTTGAAGAGCCAGCCTATGGTGAAGGCGGATCCTGGACTTGCCCGTGGTTTCCTACAGCCTAAAGAATACCAAGCTCTTCCCCTGGTCAAAAAGGAGCAGCTTTCGCCAAGCGTCTTCCGCTTTGTGTACCAGCTGCCAAAGGAAACTGATGTCATTGGCATTCCAATCGGCCAGCATTGTGCTATCAAAGCCAATATTGACGGAAAAGATGTTGCCCGCTCCTACACCCCAACCTCCAATAATACAGACCTGGGTAGGCTGGAGTTGGTTATTAAGTGCTACCCCGACGGCCTCCTGACCGGAAAGTATCTTGCCAATCTGAAGGTCGGCGATAAGTCTCTCTTCCGCGGTCCTAAGGGTGCAATGAAGTACAAGAAAGGCCTCTGCAAGAAGATTGGAATGGTGGCTGGCGGTACTGGAATCACCCCTATGTACCAGCTTATTCGCGCTATCTGCGAAGACGAAACCGACACAACAGAGGTTAGTCTTATCCTCGCTAACCGCAGCGAAGAGGACATTCTTCTGCGAAAAGAACTCGAAGCATTTGCGAATAATTATCCTAAGAACTTCAAGTTCTGGTACATGCTCGATAAGCCCCCGCAAAACTGGGCCTACGGCAAGGGCTTCATCACCCGAGATGTTATGACTGCCAAGCTCCCGGCGCCTTCTCCCGACACCAAAGTTATGCTCTGCGGACCTCCTGGCATGGTTAAGGCTGCCCAGACTGCTTTGGTATCCATGGGCTTCCAGGCTCCTGGAGCTATCACGAAGATGACCGATCAAATGTTCCTCTTTTAGACTCATTTATGATTCCTCTATTCGTGTGGCTCTATCATTTTTTCTTTTATCTTATCGTTTTTTGTCTACTCTTGATGCTTCAAACAACTGTATTATCTACTTCTTTTCTTCATTTTCATATTTCATTTTCATAGACAAGTAATAGAATTCACATTGTTCTCAAATGGTCACCAACCAACCCAACTTTAACTTGTATGTGGGAGATATTTGTAAATCGACTAAACATGGTCCACTCATTTGGCGCTGGATGCGTCTCACTTGGATACGCACAATGATGTAAATGTTTCGCATAATGAGTATACATGCGATGCAGGCACACTTCATATGAATTCAAAGCCAGTAATGTCTAAGGCGTGCAAGGCTTATTTGAGGTTCCTCGCACTAGTCACTCCATCGTAGGATATCTATTTAAAATTAAATCGTTCGAATCAACTACGCCCTTGTAATTTTTGGAAGCCATTAGTAGCTCCTTCATAATTTTCTTGGCTAATCTCTAAAGGGGAGGCTAGTCCATGCATAGTACTTAATTAGAAGATAACACAGCAACCAATGAGCAAGTGCATATTAGCTAGCCTGAAGGTCTCAATCCTGTCACTATCGGTTAACGCGCTGCGGCCAATAGGAACTCTAATTATAGCTGAATGCTTCCGGTCGGCCCGACATTGAAAGACAACAGTTAACCTGGGAAGGTTTACGGGGGATCGGCATGTGGAGAACTTCGGTAATAACCTTATCTGTGATGTGAAGATCTTCCCGGGCCAGGGCCGCGGATCACTCGGCATTATTCCTATCCGAGGCCGATTTTCCTCGCTTACAAGTCGTCCTTCCGAATTGCCCGGATGGTGAAACGGTGACATGGAGTATTTAATATATAAGCTTGTTACCACAGTCATATTATTCAATGTGAACACTCATCTGGAATTCGACCAGATTCTGACGCTAAACAATCAACCCAAAACAACAAATTCTCTCCATTCATTTTTTCTAGGACAATGACTGTTCTTACTGCTTTTTGGCAGTCGCCCGCGGATTACGCCAACCGCCCGGTTGCCATCCTTGGTGCTGGTGTGCTTGGTCGTAGAATTGGTATAGGACTCCCATTCCTTCTCGGGTGCTTTGAAGTGAAAATCTAATCGCTGTTTATAGCATGCATCTGGGCCTCCGCCGGGTATAACGTGCGAGTTCGTGACCCTAGCCCCCAGCAACGTGTCGACTGTGTTACCTACGTCGAGGAAAATGTTGCCTCATACGCCGAGAAGACCGGAATCTCTCCTGGCAAGGCAGAGGCATTTGAAGATATGAAGTTTGTTGTCGAAAATGCTTGGCTTGTTATCGAAGCTGTCCCGGAGAAGATCCAGTTGAAGATCGATACCTTTGCCGAGCTTGATGCATTGTCTCCTGCCGATTGTATCTTGGCCTCCAACTCTTCTTCTTACAAGTCCTCCGAAATGCTTGAGAAGGTCTCTACGGCTAGAAAGTCTCAAATTCTAAACATGCATTATTACATGCCCCCAGCCTGCATGATTGTTGAACTTATGACCGACGGTTTTACGGATCCCGCAATTTTCCCCTTCTTGGTTGAACGGACGAGAGAGGGAGCGACTTCGCCATATGTTGCCAGGAAGGAGTCCACCGGCTTCATCTTTAACCGTCTTTGGGCTGCTGTGAAGCGCGAGACCTTGACCATTCTGTCAGAGGGAGTCTCCGTTCCTGAAGAAATTGACGCCATGTGGGAGGAGATGTTTGTCAAGGGCCGCAGTCTCCCTTGCAAGATGATGGACAGTGAGTACAGCCTTATTCGTCACACTATAATTAAGCGCTAAAATTTATGTGATTAGATGTCGGTCTTGATACCGTTGCCTTTATTGAGGGTCACTACATTCACGAGCGCGGCCTGTCTTTCGAACATACCGTTGACTTCTTGAAGAAGAATTATCTCGATCACGACAAGCTGGGCAATAAGTGTGTTAACGGTGGTCTTTACCCTCCCGTTGATGCTACCGCCACCCCGAATGGACCCCGCATTGTTGTCCTGGATATTGGCCTCGCTTCTGATACTCCTGGTCACACACAGGGTGAAATTCTGGAGGTCACTTTGGACGGAAAGCTCAAGCGGGTTCTGGTTTCCGAGCAGAATTATCCGGACGGCCTTGATATCGACTATGAGAGTGATCGGATGTTCTGGACAACTATGGGTATCCCAGGAAAGGATGATGGTTCCGTCTACTCCGCCAAGACAGATGGAACTGATATTCGCCAAATTGTTCCTTCTGGTGTGGTGAACACCCCTAAGCAACTTGTTATTGTGGCGGAACACAAGAAGATTTACTTCTGCGACCGTGAAGGTCTCCGCGTTTTCCGATGCAACTATGATGGTTCTTCCCTGGAATTGTTAATAGATAACCGTGGATCTGGGTATTCCCAGGGAGTACCAGAACATTCTAAGTGGTGCGTCGGCATCACTGTGTCCCCCAAGCTTGGCAAGTTCTTTTGGACGCAGAAGGGAGTTTCCAAGGGCGGTAAGGGCCGTATATTCACTGCCAATATTGAGATGCCTAGTGGCCAGTCTCCCAAGACAAGAGACGATATTAAGTGTGTTCTGGCGGGTCTTCCCGAGCCGGTTGATCTTGAATTGAGGGAAGACACTCTCCAGCTTTACTGGACTGACCGTGGCGAGCTTCCCTACGGTAACACGTTGAACCGGGCTCAATTGACTCAATCTGGCCTTCTGGCGGAAACTTCTTCTCAGAAGCATGAGGTTCTCACCAAGCATCTCCATGAGGCAATTGGCTTGAAGCTCGACACTAAGAACGGTCACATTTACATGACCGATCTTGGTGGCAGCATCTACCAGTGTGACCTCGAGGGCAAGAAGAAGAAGGTCATCTACTCTGATGAGACTCGTGCTTTCACTGGAATCACTCTCCTATAAATGACAGTTTTCTAACCTGTCAGTAGCTATTGCATTGTCTTTGTTTCTTTCCCAAATTGCGACTATAGAGATTGTTTTGAGAAGTTATGTACCATAAGTTGTTTTACAAACTATACTATTCCCAAACCATACACTTCCTCGTATCCTTTGCCTTGTCATGAGTCTCTGAAGCTGCATTTTCTTTAATATCACAAAGCAACTAATTTGTCTACTATTCTCTTCCGATATTCGAAGCCAGCTGACGTGTATCAATTGATATGATGCTCAAGATTCGCATTTGCCAATATTACCTCTGTGTTCGAAATGGAGTTTCAGAATTCAAATTCAGTGACAATGAGAGGGGAAGTCTGTAATAGGACAGCATCGATGTGAGTGGGAAAGAATCTAGTAAAATTTAGCTCTTGCCAAGGCTGCAGGTTGGGGTTCGGCCCGAGACTCAAAACCCACCAAAACAACCTTATGCAATGACAGTGTTATCCACGTGACCTCGTTCCGGCATCCTCGGCTAGCCGACGAAACGTTGACGCTTGCACGAAATTCGTTTCGAAAACACCTTCATAATGACACCACAACGCTACCGTCGATCGGCTGTCGCGTGCCAAAACTGCCGTGAACGCAAAGTGCGCTGCAGCGTTTCTGTCACTGGCATCCCGTGCGCTGGCTGTACTCAGGATAGAGCCGAATGCATCGTCCGGGAAAGACAGCGGCGAAGGTCAGTACGACAACACTCGCGTGATCGAGTTGAGATGAATTGCTTCGCAGGGGCTGAGACCTATTTAACAATTAGAAAACAACAGACTGGATCACGTGTCGCTCCTCCTCCGCCTCAAGAGACCGTCCAGGTCGATCAGCCAAGAGCCGAGCCAAGCCGTATAGTTCTAGCGAATCCTTTAGCTTCTATGGAACGAGAAACCCCGGATGTCGTATCACGGGCCCCTCAGACAGAACGATCAGACTTTCCTAGGGATGATAGAAGCTTTCCTTCTATCACTGAGCGATGTGACGACTTAGCCGAGGGTGTCGAGATATCCTCGACGGTTTTGGGGCAGGATAATAAAGCTGGCCAGGTCCCTTTCTATACTGGTATCATAGTTCCTCGGCGTCTTCTTGCTTTGCTATTTGGATACCGGTAGAACTGACTTTCGTAACAGGCGAGTCCCCAGGATATACATCCATTCTCAATGTCTGCACACAACCAAACCAAACTATGCCCAGGCATATTTTGCTTTCACCAAATATATCGGCCTCGCTATCTACCCAGGATCGCGAATTTCTTCAATATAAGGGTGTGTTTACCATGCCACAGAAAAATACCTTTACCGAGCTCCTCCGCGCGTATTTTCATCATATACACCCTATCATGCCGATAGTTGATGTCAAAGTACTCTTCAATTGTAACCAAGGTATTCAAACCAACGAATGGAATCTACTGTTATTATGGAGCATGTTCTTCGCGGCAACAAGTGTAGGTCAATCCTTCATACAACTAGCTACGTTTATCTAATCCCTGCTCATAGTTTGTTAGTGAGGATATTTGGTCGCTCGAAGGCTACTCCTCCCGCAAGGAGATGAAAAAAGCTATGTATTCTCGTGCGAAGGTAATTGGTCTCATCGATCTACTTCATGGCAAACACTTAATGAAATAACTAGTGCATGTACGATAATGGCGGCGAGACGGACACGGTAGTCCTCATACAATCGGCTCTCCTCATGGGATTCTGGCACTCAAAAGAAGATGGCCATGCGCAGCCATGGTACTGGATAGGGATTGCGATCAGTCTCTGTCAAGTTTTGGGCTTACACCGAGACACGGATTCAGCCAAACTCAATTCAGCCTTCCCTAGTCGCCTGCGTCCTATCTGGCGCCGCCTTTGGTGGAGTTGTTTCTTCCGAGACCGTTGGTTGAGTCTAACATTAGGAAGGCCCCTGAGGATCAATCTTGACGATTGCGACCAACCGATGCCTTCAGCCGCTGATTTGCTCAGTGACGTCGCCGAACTACCATCTTCAATCACCAGCGCTTATATCCCTAACGACTTATCTCAATTGGCTGATTATTGGATCATTCTGCTTAATCTGAGCAGGCTTTTAGGTGGAATTCTTGCACTTAGCTATAAGCCTTTGGGCGCAAGTCCAACGATCCAACAGTTTGATTCCCTCAAAACGGAGCTCTTGCAATTCCGGTTACCAGATAGAGCTGGACATGAACAAAGTCGCTTGGCAGCTTTTTATATATACCACTTACAATTACATTACCAGTGAGTACCAATTTTCTTATTTTTTCTTCATGGCTCGATTTGTTTCTTACGATGACAGAGCTGCTTTGGTCACTTTCTACTCCCCTTATATCACTAGGATCCCGGAACACCTTCCACCTGCGCATGCGAAGGCATGGCAAAGCGAGATACGAAGCCAGCTAGACTCAGCGGCATTGCAAACCAACTCAATTCTTAATGACCTTGTACGAGAAAAGCTTCTCGCCTTTGCCGGTCCGATGACGTAAGTTCTTAATATCCATATCGCTGGCAGTTTTATTTGTCAATTGCTAAATAGTCCTGTTAATCGAATACAGCCCTACGCTGTTAATACCGGCTATGCATATCCACCTCCACAATTGCAAATCTACGGACGCTCTTATGCGTCGTGTAGGCTTCAACAACTTAGAGCTATGCATGATGGTCATGGAAAGTTTTCAGGATACGTACTCAGCAGCTGCCTTGTACCGAGGCATTTTCTTGGTGGCTATAAACAAAATACGCCCCCACTTCTTGATTGACTCGAGCTTGCGAGATACGGATGTATCTGATCCGTCTACTTCACGCGTGGAACCACCCGAATCATCAGCCGTCCTTCCCGCAGTCAGCGATGATGCTCTCAACGCACTTTTGGATGATACATCTTTCCTTGACTTTTGGGATTCTTTTAACGTCACTTTTGATTCTAATTACATGTAGAATCAATTACCATCGCGGCCAACGCTTTATCAATTCCAGCCGTATGTTTCTCACAAAACAGCGGGTTGGAATTGAGCAGGTCAACATTCAAAATCCTAGTTAAAGACCGTTATGGGCTTTTTAAAAGGCCAATTTATCATGAAGCGATTGCCAAAGTTGATTTAGAAAAATAAGCCTCTAGGAATTTTCCTTGCGTTAATCCCAAGTATAAAACAGTTCCTGCCCCCAACTCAAGCGTCAACATCCTCCCGGGCTACACCTAACATGCCCAGGGATTCATCCTTCTGGAAATACAAATCCTTCACGGTGTCTCAGTACCTCAAGGATCCAATTTCCGATGCCGGGGTTGACCCGGGGAAGACGGGGCCGAGAAATGCAGATGGATCTCTTTCTTCCCATTCTTGATTTGGGATTGCGAGGTCAAGAATATTTAATCTGGGTTAGTGAGAAAGGTGTATTGCATTTCCATAGTATACCATACTCTAGCTTAGGGAACTACTTGCAAATAAAGGGAATATGTGAAGGTAGAATGAAGTCCAATTTACTAAGAATATTAAAGCCTTCCGAGGTTCAAGTGTCTTCTGTGTAAGCACCTCCAACAAATCGTTTCAACTCTTCGGGGAATTTGCTCTCTGAATTGAAATAGAGGTATCGTCGCGGAGTCTTGGTAATCATCTCGTTTGGCTTATTGTCGACGAGGATGTCGACGAGAGTGTTAGCGGCGTAGAGAGACTTACGCCCTTGTGCATGAGCGTATCTCTCTTGCTGTTCCCTTCGAGAACTCTTGTACCTAACGCGAAAAGCTGGTCGGCTAGCGGGATCCGAGTCTAATGCACCAGTAGCATAACACTTTCCATGCTGCTGACCAGGTGGATTCACTTCAATTTTCACCGAAACCGTGCCATCTCCAACGTCCTCGTTCTTCTGGAAACCAATTCGACAGTAATTCACATTAATGGATCGACTTCTGGTGTTTTCGGGACCCATCTGGTAAGAGTATTCCTTGTTGTCGAATTTGCCTACTTCCTGCCGCCATTGATGTCCTTTGTAATTGGGTCTATCTCGCCTCGCCTTTGAAAGCTTTAGATCTAAAAGACCTAGATCAACGGCCCTTTTACAAAGGGGCTCTAGCTCCAGAATATGACCATCCTCAACCTCTGATGATGTAGGACTCAAGGCGCTTGGTCCGGAAGTTTCGTCAGAAACAATCTGGTGGACTTCATCCATAGTGACAGCTGGTCCGGGATGCATAATTGAGTGTAGACTTCCATCTCTGGGTTTTGATCTCCCTCTAGGGGCTTATCTGGGGAAACACCCTGTAGGGCTGTTTTGTATGATTCCTCTTTTTCAGTGACATCGTCTAGGACGATCTTTTTGACCTCCCGGAATACATCCTTATCGAACGGCTCATGACATCTCACTCGCTTTGCGTTTGGCATTGCTCGAGCCCCCGGGTCTGTCTGTCTTTTTGATGATGCACGGGTCTCGTTCCGAGGCAGGTAATGTAAAATCATCAGAAGTCCTCGTGAGAGAGATCCGGCGAGGGTTTCAATTCGCTTTAATCCCTCGATCGCGAGGTCTTTCTGATTCAGCCAGAGTAACACAGGTCCCCCCACTGTCTTCGTCGTTATTTTCTCTCGGCCGAGGCGCTCGTCCCTTGCATAACCGAGTATTGTTCCGACTAGTCCGACTGTTTCCACAGCATATGCGCGGGTAGCTTCTTTCTGTAGGCTCAGTAAACCGACGGCAAATCGAATCCCTGAGCTGAGCTGAGTGCTGTCAAATCCATTCTTAGACCAAATTTCACACGGAACAGGTGGACAACGGATGAGAATTCGCTTTGGATTATCCATCAGATACATCGAGTATTGAATGCCCCAAAGTTGGAGGGTGAATCGCGAGAGGGAAGGTACTCGAATAGCCTTTTTTGCTCGTGGTCCACATAAGAAGATTATTCTTACTGGGCTACAATCGATAAGCTGCTGGTGACGAAGTTGTAGCTCATCCTGATTTGCAGTTGGAGTCGTTACCTCACCGAGGTAAAAGCTTGCCAAAATTGTAAGTCCAAAGTAGGATGTTGGACTCTGTAAATTTGCAAACTTTGAGTGACCATGGACGCTGAGAAGCAGGGCCCTCATCCATGGGGTGCTCTAGGAACGAGTCCTCCTCTTGGGAGACGGCAGCATAGTCAAGTATAAACCCGACCTTCGCCGGTGTACTCCCAAAGACAGGCATGGGAGCCGTGATGCTAGAACAGTTGGCGTTGGCTTTTTCACATTGCATCGACGATTTCAATTCCTTGATGAGATTATCGTCGCCTATTGCAGTCCATAGACAGTCGTCAAAATCAAGCCGAAACCTTGGGCAGAGCGCCGTTGAGAGCTTCTTACTCAGCTCGCCGGAACCTAAAGGATTCGACCGACCGATGTAATTCCGTCATTGTAACCGAGATTATAGTGTAACGGGAGGGAGGAAGGTAGAAACGGTAGACAGCGGTTGACTATGCCGAAAGTGATGTCGTAAATCACTTAATGGGACAGCTGGGTTCCCTTGAAAGATGGGAGGACGATCCCTACTACCAAAAGTAGTAAAAATGAAGCTATTTCCGGGTAACCAAGTACGCCGAGAACGATGGTATCGATGAAAAAAATGAAAAGAGATGGCAATACGCCATAAAGTGAGGAAAGATATGGTGATGCTCTGTAAGAGAGCCTTCAGAGATAGATATGCAGAAAGGAGAGAGTTTTTGTGGGTGAAAACTCTGTTTGTGGGGGTTGGTAGCAAACAATCTACCAAAACCATTTGATCATAGTATTGGTCCCAAGGTGACACTGCCCAGCAGAGAACTCTGTAAGAAAAGAGAGCCTGTCTGCCACCCTAGCAGATTCGTTGACGGCAACAAGCCGTAAATCTGAAGCTATTCTCACTACCCAAATAGGCAATTATCTGGGCTTGGAGGTGGTGAGAATTTCTGTAGCTTAAGAGTTTTGACTGGGTCGTAGCACCAGAGTCGGGTAAAATTTGCGGATCGACAGCCATTACCCAGCCATATCATAAAATAGTGCAGGGAGTCGATTGATGCCCTAAGGGTGCTTTGGGCGTGTCCGTTGGCTACTCTTTGACTACTCTTTGGAGGTGAAGGATTTCTGGCTTCACTAGATGAAGGAGATCAACTGCCACAGTCTCGTGTCCGACGTGAGCCTCAATTTCAGTAGCGTACTCCAGACTCGTACATTCGACAAGTGCATCTTCGTCAATGTCTCTAAACATTTTTAAAAGAAGTGTCTTTAACCGGGGAAATGTTGAAGGCGGTTGTCTTGTAACGTACTATTTAGAAGATTAGCGTTGGGAAACACAGAAAGCCTCCTATCTTACATCTCATATCTTCGGGTAATCTTCAATCATTCTTCACTAAAGTATCAACCTCACTTCACTTAGATCTCACTTCTCTAAGACCTCACCTCACCTAGATTTCACTTCACTTTTCGGCCGCCGTAGTACAGAGGTCACAAGTAGCAGATAGTTACAGATTGATAGTACGTACTCCTACACCTCTCTGAATTCACTTCTTGGACTGGCGTCCATATTGTCTTTGTATGCCCTGGTTGGCATAATGTTGAATTTTGAGCGTTCCTCTCTTAAATATTTAGTAACTACCAATCCTAAAAAGCTCTATAACAACCCTAGCGATATTCAACCGCACCCTTCATCCATTACTTGGAAGAGCCACTATTAGGAGCAACTCAATGGCCGGAAGATCTTAACAAACAAGGGTCGCACTTTGGGAGGCTCCTCAGCAATCAATCGGGGAATTGATGTCTACTCGTCTCGTTCCGGATTGAATACCTGGGAAATACCGGGCAACCCGGCCTGGGGGTGGGACGGCCTGGCCCCATATATTCCCAAGTTCCACACGGCTGCATCCCCATCGAATGACAACCGTCAGTTCTTCGAGGGGATGAAACATGACCAATAGGATCAGGTGAAGAAGGGTAGTAAACGTCAATCGGGAAGCGGATCACCCCGTAATCGGCCTATTACATGCTGCTGGGTGCTCATCCTCTGACTGTCTCTTATTCAATTCTCTGAATGTACGAGCAAGGACTGAAGACTTCGCAAGGTTTTACACAGACGATTTGTGGAAGCCTCATCGCGACTTTGCTCAAAAGCTCTGGGCAAATATGTGGGCGAAGGTAGAGATTTGGATGGGAAAAGATGCGTTCGAGGACCTCTCTAAGAGCGCCATTCTTAAACACTTCCCCCTATGGGGTAAGTTTGAGAAGGTGAGGTTGTGGGTAGAGGTCGACAACGATCAAACCTCTGTAAAGCGGTTCATTATCCATGCATACCAGCCTGCGTTTTTCCCTAAGTTTCGACACACCGGAACCTCTAATGGGCCTCGAAAGGGCAAAGGAGCTGTCTAAAGAGCTCGTCTTGTCTATGTACCATATCAGCAGTACCTGTGCGATGATTCCACAGGAAGGTTGCGGTGTTGTAGATTCTCACCTGAATGTCACCTGAAGGTGTACGCCTCGGCTAATATCCGTCTTATCAATGCCAGCATCTTTCCCTTGGAGCCGAGAGGCAATATCTCCTAGATACCTACTTCAGATAACGGTTCCTTTGTCGCAATGTAAGGATTTTCTAGAATTATAACGACAATTATCGGCTGCAGTTACCTATGCAAGCTTGACATTGGATAATTGATATATACATCATGAAAATAAATCTTATGTTGTCAACTCCATTCACACGAACTAGATCGATTAATTGTAAGCCTTAGCAAATATTCAGCGGAGTAGGTATCATAAAAAGCCAAATGTAGGTGAGAAGCAAGCAAGCTCTTTACGGGCTTCCGCAACACCAAAGTGTACTTTTTTCACACTATGTACCCCCATACTGCATACAGGACCCTTGAAGGGCAGAGGTACAAAGGGTTGTGGAGCGCAGTAGTTGTGATGTAGATATTAGTTAACGTATTTCACATGCGAGTGGCCCCCACAAGCGAGTGGCCCACCCCAAAACACCATAGTAAATGCAATATTTTATAACCTTATATCTCAGCAACCACGTTACTGTTTGATTTCATTGTCGTTCGATAGCTATCGATAAGAATTTTAAACCCCGTATATTAGTTTCAAGAAAATCGAAAGGCTGCATTATCATGGTATTAAAAATTACGTTACTCAAAGCCAAAAAATATATATATCAATCATAAAGTCATAAAGATTTTCCAAAGCCCTTAGAGAGGCTAGATATCACCCAAAAAGCATTAAGCTATTAGGAAATTTCCATATAGCATACTGTTGTTCAGATATCAAGTTGAAATTTATCGCATTTACTATGGTGTTATGGGGTGGGCCACTCGCTTGTGTGGGCCACTCGCATGTGAAATACGTTAAGGCATCAAGGCAATAAGGCAATAAAGTGTTAAGGCATCCAGGTGTCAAAGCGTCGAGGCGTCAACGCCAAGAAGCAGGCGAACCACGTGAAGCTTACGGAGTACCAGAACTGACTCGAAGCTCATAACCTACTTGTTAATTGTGTTCTCACGTTTCTTCTCAAATCAGCATGAGTGCCAGGGCAATCCAGAGAGTCCCTCCATCGGCATCTTTCACTCATCCACGGCAAATTGGGAAATCACTAAGACTTTCGCCATTGGTTGCAGCTCAGACAAGGAGAGCTGATCATCGACCATTGCATACAAGGCAAAGCCCCAAATAATCAATCAGCTGTGGCGAATCTGACAACATCTTATAGTTACAAAATATCCTCGCCACAGAGCCCGGGTATGTGCCTAGCTATTTCTCAGAAACCCCCCGGCCCTCACACGCTTATCGGCGTATCATCCCAATGGGGAAATATGCCTGTCCCGCATTTTCTTTTTTTTTTCTTTTTTTTTCTGGATTTACATGCCTGCAATTGAATCCAACGCTAACATTATACAGCCCAATTGACATCGGGAATTCTCACCAGAAATGGTTTGTCACAGCGTTCAATAGCCTCGTTGTATTTGACCCCGCGTGTTAGGAATTTCTCCACTGCGCAAGCAGTTGACTCCAAGATGAATTTGAAGTTCCCTAGTCCAGATATCCACCGGGCTTTCATTGCCCTGGGAAGCAATGTCGGAGACCGAGTAGAAATGATTGAGCAGGCTTGTCTTGAAATGGACCGAGTTGGTATCAAAGTGAAAAGGACAAGTTCGTTGTTCGAGACCGCACCGATGTATGTGCTGGATCAAGATCCATTCATAAATGGTGTATGCGAGGTATGTTAGCGAAGTTCTCCAAATTTGGTGGCCAATTGTTAATTCCCTTCAGGTGGAAACAACCCTTGAGCCTCTGGATCTTTTGGACACTCTTCAATCCATTGAGATTGAGATGGGCAGAAAGAAGCTCATCGATAAAGGCCCACGCTCTATTGACTTGGATATCCTACTATATGATCTGGAGATCTTCTCTCACGAGCGTCTCAACATCCCACACAGTCTGATGCTCGAGCGAGACTTTGTATTGCGACCTCTCAGCCAGTACGCCCCCAATGGTTCTATATATGCCATACCGACATACAAAAAAGAAGCACTAACCATCCGAACCTAGATTAATCCCAAATGAATACCCCCCACTACCAGGGAAGGATACTCAAACATACAGCACACATCTAAAGACTCTCCCGCCACCAGAACCAACGCCAATGTCAACAACGCCAATCTCACCATTCTTCCCATCTCTGCACGCAACAGACCCCAAGCGCAGCACCCACGTCATGGCAATCCTCAACTTAACGCCAGACTCCTTCTCTGACGGCGGCAAGCACGCTCCAACAGATCTAAACTACATAACAGAAACAGTACGCAACTTCATCGCCTCCGGCGCAACAATAATCGACATCGGCGGCGAGAGTACCCGCCCCGGCTCAACACCAGTCGGCGCCGCCGAAGAGATCTCCCGTGTAGTGCCAGCAATCAAGCACATCCGAACTTCCATCCCGGAAGCCGCCAACATCGCCATCAGCATCGATACCTACCGCGCCAGCGTAGCAGAAGCCGCCTGCGCCGCCGGCGCAGACATCGTCAACGACATCTCAGCCGGCCTCCTTGACCCAGAAATGCTACCGACAGTAGCGCGGATCGGCAAGTCCGTGATCCTAATGCACATGCGCGGCACGCCACAGACAATGACAACCCTGCACGAGTACCCGTCCGGCGTCATTCCGGAAGTGGCTACTGAGCTGGGCGCGCGCATTGCGGCTGCTGAAGATGCCGGGATCCGACGCTGGCGCAT